CATGATTTTGACATTAGGGCAATGTCAAGCAGCCGCTAACTGTTATCAGGAGAAATTTTCGAACCACAGAGCGCCCAATCGAAAAACATTTTTAAGGATTGAAACCCGTTTAAGGGAAAATGGGACGTGTAAGCCGAAATTTGCTAACAACGGTAACGTAAGATCAGCCCGAACACCCGAACTAGAAGAAGATATACTAGACTATGTAGAAGACAAGAAAAACAACTGTCTGGCGTGTTCTTCACGAGCAACAGCTTTATCCATTTCATTGTTACAAACTTCAGAAAGTTCGAGTGGCTGATTACTCACTGCGACTGCAATATGCAATATGCAGTCTGCATATTGCCAAATAATGCAGCACAAAATCCAAATTAATGATCAGTTTTTAGAAAAAGTACTTTTTACAGATGAATCCACTTTTTCTAAAGATGCAATCTTCAATTTGAGAAATTTACATAGTTGGGCGGACGAAAATCCAAGATTTAAGAAAACTTGGAAATCACAATGGAGATTTTCTCATAACGTTTGGGCTGGCATTGTGGGCGATGTAATTATTGGACCTGTTTTCTTACCATCAAGGCTGGATGGACATACATACAGGCGACATTTAGAAGAATTAGATGATTTTTTAGATGACGTTCCTTTAAACACAAGGCAAGCAATGTGGTATATGCATGATGGTGCTCCTGTGCATAGCACACAGGCTGTCCAAGAATTTCTGAGGGAACGTTTTCCGGGACGGTGGATTGGACGAGGAGTAGGTGCACCAATAAGTTGGCCCCCCGATCGCCGGATCTTACACCTGTAGATTTTTATTTATGGGAACGCGTTAAACCACTAGTTTACTGCATTGAAATAACTTCAGTTGATCAACTGAGGTTGCAAATTGTTGATTCATTTGATCAACTTCGAACTGAGATCAATGTTCTCCGCAGAGTGCGTTTTAATTTAAGACGGCGATATCAGGCAGTGTTTTTGAACATCTGCTTTAGTATTTTTTTGTTCTTTTTTATTTATTACTATTTGTTTATAATTTTATTGTTCTTGTTAAAATTTTTGTTATGTTCTTGTTTGTTGTTACCGTGAAAATTAAATTTATCGTTTTGGAAATTACATTCTTTTATTCAACTAAAATAAATTAACGCTGGATTTAACTAAATCTGCACTTAGAAATTTATACAATTAATGGTTATTAGCTCAGTTCGTTTTTCAATTGTCATCGCCAACTCAGATCTTGCGGAATATGTTTCTTTTTTTTGTTTGTTACGATTACATTTTCGCGTATAACTCGAAAACCGTCAATATTATCAAAATTTTCAAAGAGTGATAAAAGTTTCTAAAATAAATTTTCTATTAAAAAGTACAAAAATAAATGTAGGGTTACGAGCGAACAAAAAAGTTCTGAGCAAACAAATTTTAGGGACAGCCTGTATAGCATGGTTGCCGCAGCCCGATCAAAGTCAAAATTGATTCAATGATTTTGCTTGATATTTGTTTACCCTCTACCAAATTTCAACGCTCTACCATAAATGGTATTGAAAATATTTAGAAAAATGTGTTAAAATTTTTGAACTTTGATGGCCCATATTTTGGCCATTTGAAGACTTTTATAATAATTTTTTTTCACGAATCGTCATCATTTTTGCTCTAGTATATGAGGTTAATTTTATGCCCCGAGTCACCGGAACACCCTGTATATGTACTTGTGATTATCGTTTGAACTAGACCTAAGCAAAAAAAATGTTATTGGCAAAATGGCGCCTAGTCAAATTAAGATAATCGATTTTGTTCTTCAAATCGATAAGTTTATCTCAAAAATAAATCATGTATATATCGTATCACCTTCTCTGTAGATCATACGATAGAAAGATGCTATTTGAAAGATGGAATGAGTAGTTTTTTAGGAATCGTGTTAACCAGATGTAAAAAGGATGTTTCGAGAAAAATTCACTTACAGTTTCATGTAATACAATCTTATAGCGTGTATACACCTTGTTAATTTAATGTTTATAACTTCTACATTCAGCCAGACGCAAGCTTTTCATTTGCGATATATAACATTAAAATCGGTCAAACCGTTCTTTAGTTATAGCGAATTTAATCAAAATTATTTTTTTCGTATTGGGGGCTAGACTTCCAGTCAGTAGATACGTGGAGTCATTTAAATAACCGTACGTATGTAGGTAATTAGTAAATTTTGAAATCGGGCATTTCCACCTTCGCATTCATTGAAGATCATACTTTTGATCGAGATGTTGACGACTAAAATTGGTCAATTAGTTAAGGAGATAATTGATGTGTTTGATTAATTCGTTTTTGATGTTTTAATCAAAATCCTTAAATATTTCGAATCGGGCATTTCGACAACCGCATTTGGCCAGACACACACTTTTAATTGAGATATTTTTATTTTTTTTATTTTTATTTATTTATTTGTCTTTGTATCCAGTTTACAGAAAGAAATTATAGAGAAATTAATAGTAAACACTATGTATATAAGGTAAACAAAAACAAAAACTCCCGTAACACGCCATATAACTAATTTCTATTATGATCAGTAACCAAACAGCTGGCGCATGGGGGTAACCGCAAAAACTGAAAAAATCAGTTTGCACGCGGCTTTCGAAATAAAAGAAAAATAATCAAAATTCAAACATAAACATTATTCTTACTGTGAACAAAGATAACAAATTATACAACACTCAATTCAACATTGAAAGAACTAAACCACAATTGAAAAAATTCCATCTATCACGCCATCATTAAGTGATTTCACCCATCTTTTTGAAAAGTATTTCCACCTAGATTTCACCAACGTAAGGTTCTGGGCTGCTAGGTATTCCCTAAACTTATTATATATTTTAATGGAATGGTAAGAGTAATGTCTTTGACCTACAGTCTTATTTACGGGCGGTATAACAGCACGATTCTGGGATGCAATCCGAGTAGAGTAACCATGTGAGACAGTCGCCAATCGGTCCGGTGATTTTAAAATGTTATTCATAATTGCTAAGGTGTATAACTGTTTAATAGTAAATAAGTCACACTCAGCAAACAACAACGCAGATGGGAAAGTACGGGGCCTATGCATCATTATTTTTATAACACCTTTTTGAGACGTAATTAATTTCTGAAGGTAAGAATCAGCTGCAGAGCCCCATGCCAAAATGCCATATTGCAGGATTGATTGTATAATTCCAAAATAAAATATCTTAATAGTTTTGAAATCGCATCATTTAAAATAAGTTTACTGCTATTTAGCCAGTTATTTATTAATCTCAAATCTGCTATAGCTTTATCTTCAACATCCGCCCAAGAACGGCCTTCCACAAACAGAACGGTATCATTCGCATAAGAGATTAAGTCTCCATTGAGTGTTAATGAAAGCAAGTCATTAATATAAATTAAAAACAAAAGCGGACCCAAAACTGTTCCCTGTGGCACTCCGACATTCATCGATACCGAACAGCTGAGACTTTGACCAATCCTCACATATTGAGATCTCTCGTGCAGATAGTCCCACATTAATTTCAAAGGTATACCTCTCACCCCATAAATATCGAGTTTACGCAACAAAAAACTGTGGTCAACCGTGTCAAAAGCTTTAGCTAGATCCAAAAAAACAGCTAGGCAAGGCCTTGATTTCTCAAAACTATTTTTAACTTTTGTTGTAAGTTCCGCAATGGCATCACTTGTTGATTTACCCTCAGTGAAGCCATATTGATTCTTAGAAAGAATACTATTTTCATTAAAGAAATTTATCAAACGTACTTTTAATAATTTTTCAAAAATTTTTGCGAAATTATTTACTAAAGAAATAGGTCTATAATTACTTATACATTGAGGATCACCACCCTTAAACACAGGTACGACCACAGCCTTTTTAAAAGCTTCTGGAAAATAACCTAATACAAAACATCTATTAAATAAATTGGATAATGGAGATGCAATCAAATGAATAACCTTCTTAATAAGAATCATCGAATATAAATCATTAAAATCCGTCAAATTCGTATAGTCGATTTAGTTTAAATTATTTTTTTTATATTGGGTTCTAGACTTTCGGGCGTTCACACGTGCATAAACAACAAGCCACACGGAACACGCTATCATTCCGAGAGCTGTACAAGGTTAACGGGGGAGAATTGAAATCGGGCATTTTATGGTTTCGATAGAAGAAACTATGACGAATCGAATGACGTATAGATCTTGATCATCGGGTACATCGTTTATGAGTTATCACCACTTAAAAAAGGTCATTTTTGTGTTGTTTTCGTGTACTTTCGCATTATTTTGGCGTTTTAGCGGTATTCGAAAGGGATTTCGAATCGGGCATTTCCACTTTCGCATTGGCCAAAGATTAAGCTTTCGAATGAGACATTGTTTATCGAAATCGGTTGACTGGCTCTCTTGTTATAATCAAAATACTATACATGTAAAATCCTATCTAATTGGGAGCTAGAAAAATTGGGGGCTAACTTCGCATAGGTTATTTGTAGAGTCTCTGAAGATGGCCAAGGGCCGAATCGGACTTGAAATCGTATAACGTAATTGGCGCTTAGCTTTAAACCAAATAGTATTTTAGGTCTTTCGGTACTCTAAACCCGAATGTTTTTAGTTCTAGGTCTAGTGTTAGTTCAATAAAAATATAAGATTACATAAAAAACTCTTTAAAAAATCTTAAACAGCACGTTACATTTTAAAATGGTTGAACTACGTATTTTATTCAAATGAAATGTAATTTCATGTATTTAATTAAATAAATGTTGTTGATCAAGATATTTTATTGAACAAACTACAATGTTTTTCAAGATTTGGTTGTATACTAAATATTTTACTTAAACCTTATTTACAACCAGTAAGTAAATGGATTTTTTAAATTTTTCTTCGAAAAATAATAACACTTAAGAACTGAAGTCATGTACACACTGTATCAACTACTTCTTACAAAACTAAAATATCTTAATCCATTTCAGAGATACTTGGTCTAGAAGTTTTAAGTGAAACACTCCCTATATTGTATGTTTTCATAATTATGAAGATTGGTCAGATGTTTCATTATCAAAAGTACAAATAAGTTAAGTGCTCACTTCACTTAATTTGCTTTGCATTCTTATCTATATTCTTAAATATTCAACCAATTTTTCCATAAAAAAGTCATAATAATAATTATTCATATTTAAAAACGTCTCCTGCTTTAACTGCCAAGTATAAAAGAGGCACGAATCAACTCCTTAACATTGAAGTTTTGAGTTCACAACATGAAAGTATTAATTTTTGTATTAGCCGTTTTTGGCACCAATTTCGCAGTACGATTTAAAATAATTAATTACCATGCTGGTCCAATTCATATTGGAATACAAGGTAATAGTGGAAAACCGCATTTATTAGGTGGAGGATTTTCTTTAAATCCGGGTGCATCGGTAATATAAATTAATTAAAATTAATTTTTTGTAAGTTTTCTTATAATTTTTAGAAAGTGGTTGAATCACCAATTGATTGGGGTGGAAGATTTTGGGCACAAACATGGTGTGGTCCTAACAATCATTGTGAAACTGGAGATTGTGGGAATAGAATTAAATGTGGTGGAAATGGAGGAACTCCACCAGCTACTTTAGTTGAAATACAATTAAGAGCTCATGCTGGACAAGATTTTTATGATATTTCTTTAGTTGATGGTTTTAATTCAATGGCTCTCGTAAGTTATCACAAAAACTGCCACTTACGATTAGATAAACTTTTTTTTTTATAGATTAGACCAGTTAACGGAAAAGGAGATTGTCCAACATTACAATGTAAAAAAGATTTAAATCGAAATTGTCCAAAGGATTTGCGTTTATATTATAGTGGTTTTGTTATTGGTTGCAAAAGCGCTTGTTTATTGAAAAATGAACCGAAATATTGTTGTACTGAGTCTTTCGGGCCTGATCGATGTAATCCAAATACTTGGCCAAGCAATATCAATTCAGCCAAATATTTTAAAGCCAATTGTCCTCAAGCTTACAGTTATGCTTATGATGATAAATCTAGCTTGTATACTTGCGTTGCTAACACCTATGATGTCGAATTTGGTTAAAAATTTGTCATACCATCATTGTATTTTTGAAACACATTATAATGACTTAATAAAAGTATTCAAGCAAAAAATGTTTTTCACTGTTAATTTTTTTTATCTCGAGCTGAATATTTATTAAGCCAAACTATTATTGTTTTGGCTCTTTACACAATATTATTGCAAACCAGTTTCGACAAATCGGGTAAAAATAATAACTTTAATGTACAGCGTCTAATGATCAATGTTTAATACCTTCAATATCCTTTTGTTGTACACCTAAACCATATTATAGTCTACTCGAAGTACTTCCTGCGACCTTGGCATTGTTTATTGAACACCTTTTATCTATAAAATTACTCAAATTAATGTGTATATGTTATGGTCAGAGTAATAAATGCTGTTAATATTAATAATTAGTAATAATTACCGATAAGTATTAATACTACCGGTAATAACAAGTTAATGTAATGAATACCAAAAGAATAATCATTTTTATCGGTTATTATTATTAATTTTCTTATCGTGATGGGTTAAAGCAATAAAACATAGAAATTTATATCATAAAACATTGTTTATTAATTAAAATAATTATTTATTTTTGTAGGATCAATTTTTATAATATTTTGAATTACAAAGAATGTGTCAAATGCTTTCAAAAGTACAATTAATATTGAAAATTTTGTTCACGTAAATTTCAGTTCTTATAAGCACACTCTCTAAGAGCTCTCTAGCTTACAAAATCTTTTTTGATAAAAACAATAATGGTTATTGTATTTGGAGCCTCAGACACTGATATCATTTTCATGTATTTCTTATAGAAATAGGAGTTTCCCTTTAAAAGTGCCCAATTTGGCCCACCCTGTACAATCCATGAGCTGGTTCGATTCGTGGTTCATTCTTATCCTCCACATTCTTCACGAGCGCTTAAAACCGCTGTAACGATGGCAAATATCCCCTATGTAAATTTGAATATTTATTTATCAGACCTGTAGCTACAGAACGACGAAAATCTGATAGAATATTGTAATTCAAAAATTCCTGGAAGCCGTGTTTATTGAAATTAAGAAATGAACCTTATTTTAAATTGAAGGTTAAAGCTTTCTGTTTCAATCGATGTATAATAATCGTTGGGTTGAATTAGAAAAATATTGAGAAAAAGGGTATTGAGTTAAAACTAACAATTTCGTATAACCTAAAAATTTCAAAAAAGATGCTAATTTAAAAATTCCTGGAAGCCGTATTTATTGAAATTAAGGAATGAGACTTATTCTAAATTAAAGCTCAATGTTTTCTCTTTAAAATGATGTATAATAATGGTTGTGTTGGATCACAAAAATGTGGAGAAAAAAAATGTTGAAATTTAACTTACATTTTCGTATAACCTAAAAATGTCAAAAAAGATGCTAATTAAAAATTCCTGGAAGCCATGTTTATTGAAATTAAGGAATGAAACTTATTCTAAAGTAAAGCTCAAAGCTTTCTCTTTAAAATGATATATAATAATCGTTGGGTTGGATTGGAAAAATATTGAGAAAAAAAAAGTTGAAACAAAACTTACAGTTTCGTATAACCTAAAAGTGTTAAAAAAGATGGTAATTTAAAAATTCCTGGAAGCCGTATTTATTGAAATTAAGGAATGAGACTTATTCTGAATTAAAGCTCAATGTTTTCTCTTTAAAATGATGTATAATAATGGTTGTGTTGGATCACAAAAATGTGGAGAAAAGAAATGTTGAAATTTAACTTACATTTTCGTATAACCTAAAAATGTCAAAAAAGATGCTAATTAAAAATTCCTGGAAGCCGTGTTTATTGAAATTAAGGAATGAAACTTATTCTAAAGTAAAGCTCAAAGCTTTCTCTTTAAAATGATGTATAATAATCGTTGGGTTGGATTGGAAAAATATTGAAAAAAAAAATGTTGAAACAAAACTTACAGTTTCGTATAACCTAAAAGTGTTAAAAAAGATGCTAATTTAATAATCTCTCTAAGTAATATTTATCGATCAAGCTTCTTGTATCCTATTTGTAACACTTTGATCTATAGGTACATATCCGTAATTGGGAATTTAATTTGCGTCTATTTAAAGCTCCAGATTTACTCCCAATAGATTGTGGAACTATCTAGATGTGTGGTCAATATTCTTGTCGCTACTATGCTCTGAACAATATAACATCTTTATATTGAGGTTCAATCAATTCGGCCATTCCAATCTGTCAGACGCTGCACGCTCCCAATTTCGTACGCTAAGCTTCCCTCATCTGTCTCATTGCATCCTTTCCACATGTTTCAGCTATGTTATTCTCTGTGCTTTTATGTGTCATATTATGTCTGTACAATTCATGAGCTGGTCCAATTCGTGGTTGATTAGTATTCAGCACATTCTTCATCATCTTATATCTGACGATAGATCTTGCGCAAGATCCGTCTTTCACTCTTAGCCCATCTTTTACCACCTCTTGATAAATTTATCCGATAGATAAATTCAGTTCTTAGTTACTGAAACCGTTTAAAACCGCTACCTATAACTAATATAGCAACTATCCACTAGATAATTTATCAGGAGGATAGTAAAAGATTGTTTTACTTTGTTTTCATTTCCTGTCGACATGGCCCTTGCTTCGCATCTATATGTTGCTCTTGGTCTTAGAATACTGCAATAGATTTTGATTTTCGATTGTCTAATATTTTACTTTTTTGCTAATACAAAAATATGTAAATTTTTATACTCATTCGGGATCTTGTAGATTCCATATATTTTGTTTTGGATTCGTAAGTTATGAATTCTACTTTTGTGAGTTGATTAAACTTTTTTCAGTTTTCCTTTAGTGCAACTTAGGATCATGCGTAGGCACATATGTGCGAAATTTTCGTGTTCATGAAATTTCGCATTCTAGCTCCCGTATTAAGTAGACAGCTTTTAAAGCAAGATTAAACATTATGGAGAATAACGTGTCATCTTGCCTGACACCACAGTTCGTTTCAAACAGTTCTGGTAACTCTCCCCGAATTCTGACAGTTGCCTTCGATCCAGTTAGTTAGCATATTAATTCAGCTTATCAGCTTGTGTGGTACCTAATTTTGTTAATAATTTAAGTTAATATTCACTTCACCCTTTCTTGGATAAAGTAGGTAATAAATCTTTATTTACTAAGGTGATATGTTTAATTATGTTAATTGTCTTTATTAATTTCAGCCACCTGGCCGTCTTCAGAAGACCTGTCAGATATTATAAACGCACGTGAACATGTTAAATTTCAAAAACTAATTTAGCGGGAAAACAGTAAAATCAATTTTGTTAAGTGTTGTAGCATCTTTTTTCTATTTATTTTATCCGAAGTCTGCTAGACATTGATGTAAATACTGTTCGGGTTTATGTTATATTTGAGGTTTTTTTTGTATGTTGTGCAGTGCGTGAATATGGGCTATAGTTGAGCGACCTTGCATAAATTCACTTTGATTTTCTCTGAGGATTTGTTCGATGTAAGGTTTAAGACGTTAGCATATTATGCTTGATACTAGGAGAAGTTTAGCAATGTGATGCCTCCATAATTGTTACAGTTTAGTTTGTCTCCCTTCTAATAGATGGGCTGGATGACATCAACTCCTCTGAAATTTGCTCATCTCTCCATATTTTCTGTATTAATTGATACATGCAAATCCATATGTTCTCTCCTGATGCTTTCAATAGTTCAGCAGGTATTGCGAATTTTTTAGTTTCATTATTGTTTGACAGTTTTCTTGTATGTCGGTTCCGGCGCTAACACTTTATGGCCTCCGTATAACACCTGTTACGAATCCATAGAGAAAATTCTAAACGTAAAAGACATACTCCTCACACAATTTCCAAAGCATATATTCTGCGTTAATTTCGTCTTCTGCCAATATGACTCCGTCGTCCGCAAAGTGCAGGGAAACAGTTTTCTTTTTCCTTCTGTTGTATATACTCCTCCACTCTTTGTTTAAATTCTTTCCTCTTGTCATCATCACTCAATGTTACATTCCATTTTTCTTGTTTTCGGAATCACACTTGCTACCTCTGTAAGTTTTCACATTGTTTATAGAAGAAGTCATTCTTTTAAATATTAAGACGTTGTCGATTTCGTTGCATACATCCCTACCTGGAATTATCCATGTCTCTCTTGAAACAATTTTTGATATGGTCAGAGAGATGCGAACGGATATGCGTGAGATGAGCTCTAGATATGACAATTTGGTCGAGTCGGTGGAGTTCTGTAGTCAGCGAGTGTCTGATTTTGAGGTGACTGTGAAGCGCTTCCAGGAGCAGATGAAAATCATTGACAGACTGAACGCTGAAAATATATCCCTGAAAAAACAAGTAACCGATTTGTCCGATCGTGTTTCTGATATGGAACAATATTCTCGCAGGAATAATCTGGAGATCCAGGGGGTGCCTGAGAGGGACAATGAAAACCTGGTAGAAGTGCTGGGGTCCATTGGTAATTTTCTTCAGGTTCCTGTATCCTCGACGGATGTGGACGCGGTTCATCGTGTTCCGCATGGTGCAGGGTTTCGGAATCGGGAGGCAACCCCCAAGACCATTATTGTGAAGTTCTGCAGTCGTCTCAGACGGGATAACTTCCTGGCCGCTGCTGCGTTGAAGAAACGATCAGTTCCTGCTGGTGTACGTCCGGGTCTCAAGATTGAGGGTGTTGCGGAGAGGTGTTTTGTTAATGAGCATCTCACGCCGCAGAACAAGATTCTATTTGGTCGGGCCCGTGGGGTGGCTAGAGAGAAAGGTTATAAGTTTGTCTGGATTCGTAATAGTAAAATTTTTGTTCGAAAGGATCCAGACTCGCGTGCAATTCATGTTAAGAGCGATAAGGAAATAGACAGAATGTAATTTTGTTGTTGTTTCATCTAACTTATAAACACTTTTCTTTTAGGCCACGACAAATTAATCATGTCACCTATTACCGTGTACTACCAGAACACCCGCGGTTTAAGAACCAAGCTTGTTGCTCTGTACAACAGTGTGCTCAATGCGGAATTTGATGTTATTTGTTTAACAGAAACCTGGCTCCACCCAGGTATCTACTCCTCGGAGGTTTTGCCTCAGTCGTACCAAGTTTTTAGATGCGATAGGCCAAACGTGGGTGGTGGCAGGTTGATGGGACGTGGTGTTCTGATCGGTGTTTCTGATGCGTTGGCTGCTGTGCGGCGGCCGGACTGGTTCGGCGGGGTCGATGCGGTTTGTGTTACGCTGCGCGACGGTGACTCCAGCTTGCACGTTTGTTGCATATATATTCCACCCCATGATAATGTAGCTCTTGCCTCTTTCATTGAGCAACTTGTCTCAATTATTGAGCAGCGTCCTGACGATAAATTTTTGATTTGCGGTGATTTCAATCTACCAGAAATTACCTGGTCGCTTGATGCCACTTATCGCTCGTGCGTGGCTTCTCGTATCGGTACCGGCAGTGCTCGGTCGTCCGATTTCCTGGACGCTCTTTCCCTGTGTGGCCTTAATCAATACAATCATTATTGCAACGCGTTCGATAACACGCTTGATTTAATTTTAACAAATTTTCCCCTGATCTCAAACATATCTTTGAGTGATAACCCATTGGTTCATGAGGACATAGCGCACACAACCCTCGAATTTTCATGCACAGCAATTAATCAACCTAATTTAAATAATAAATCAAATGTTACATATAACTATCGTAGGGCAAACTTTGATGAACTTAACCAATATTTGACATCAATAAATTGGAACTCTGAACTGCGACATGGCAGCATTGAACGTCTCTTGAATGTTTTTTATTTTCATTTGAGGTACGCAATTGAAAAACATGTACCTAAATTCAAAGAACGACCCGGGGGATACCCAGTGTGGTTTACACCTAGCACTATAAGGGTTCTCAGTGAGAAGAAAAAGGCCCACAGGAGGTGGAAGCGGTATGGGAACCGGATCGATTATTTGTCTTTCTCATTGTTGAGGGGTCGCGCTAAACATCTTATTAATACCGATTATAATAACTACATTCAACGTACAGAATCAAATATTACAAGTAATCCTAAGCACTTCTGGTCTTTCCTTAGGCGTAGGAGGGGTGCAAGTGGTGTTCCAGCGGTGATGACATTGGGTGACTCTGTTGCTACGGTCGGTGAAGACATTTGCTCTTTATTTTCAGATTGCTTCGGCTCAGTTTTCACTGCTTCGGCGGGTGCTGGGCCGGCTCGTTGTGATATTGCTGTGGGTTGTTCTGGAGTCTTATGTTTTGATCGCGCGGAGGTGGAGGTGGCACTGAGGGAGATTGACGGGACCGGAGGACCGGGATCGGATGGTATTCCTGGTTTCTTGATAAAAAATTGTTACAAGTCACTTTCATTTCCCCTTACTATTTTGTACAACGTCTCCTTAAGTACTTGTGTTTTCCCGTCTGCCTGGAAGCAAGCTCACGTTATACCAATATTCAAGTCTGGTAACCGTAATGATGCGTCCAATTACAGACCAATATCTCTTTTGCCACAGTTCAGTAAGGTTTTCGAGAGGCTTGTATATAAACGTTTATTTTTTGCTGTTAAGAGTATGATTGACCCCAGACAACACGGGTTTCACGCTGGTCGCTCGGTCGTGAGCAATTTGCTACTATACTCGGATTATATTCTTAACTCACTTGAACAACTATACCAAGTTGATGCTATTTATACTGATTTCAGCAAGGCTTTCGATCGAGTGAATCATGAACTTCTGCTGAACAAGCTGGCAAAATTTGAAATTAATGGCAATTTACTTTGTTGGATTGCATCTTATATCCGGGACAGAACTCAGATTGTATCAGTGAATGGTTATCTATCCGACCCTATTCAGGTTCCATCTGGGGTCCCGCAGGGCAGTCACCTTGGTCCGCTACTTTTTACTATTTATATTAACGATATCTTCTCTGTTATTAAACATGCTCAATGTTTAATGTATGCTGACGACCTTAAACTTTTTCTGCGTATCACGTCTCCGCGCGACTGCTCGAAGCTTCAGTTGGACATAGTTGAGTTGCAACGGTATTGCGAAGCTAATTTCATGACGCTTAACCGATCAAAATGCAATGTTATTACTTTTAGTAGAAGATCAAATGTCATTCATTTCGATTACAACTTTGATCGGGATGGTATACAACGAGTATCCTGTATTAGAGACTTGGGAGTCATGTTTGATGAGAAATTGTTGTTCAGAGAGCACGTTGATGGAGTAGTTAATAAAGCTTGGCGCATGTTGGGGTTTGTTATTAGGTCTACTGAGCATTTTTCTAACATAAATGCAATTAAAACACTATATTTTGCTTATGTTTACAGTATTCTAAACTACTGTAGCGTTGTGTGGAATCCTCATTACCACATACATATCGATAGATTGGAGCGGGTGCAGAGAAAATTTTTGAAGTACTTGTGTTATAAATCTCATTTAGTGTATGATGACTACGACTCTACTTGTGCTTCTTTACGGTTTCTGTCCCTCCATCAGCGTCGCACCTGCAATGATTTGCTATTTTTTTTCAAAATTCTCAACAATGAGTGTGATTGCGCCGGGCTCGTTAGCTTGATTAATATTCACGTTGCACCGAGAAATTTGCGATATAATTTTTTGTTCTTCACTCCGGCTGCGCGTACGAATGCGTTCCTCCACTCCCCAATGATGAGAATGGCAAGAGCGGCTGATCGTTTCCCAATTGACATTTTTCGGTACACGTATCCGGTATTTAGACGTATGGTTACGACTGCTGCACTGGCCTCGCCGACCGGACTGGTCTGATTATAGTTTGTCTAATTTTACATTAAATTTAATCGGAATTTAATCGAATTTCACTCGTCAATTGTTACTTATATACATATATATATATATTTTTTTTGTTTTATATTTTTTGTATAATTTTCATTTGGTTTGCGTCTCTGTATGTATTTTTTCTGGCTTATATTGCGCTGATATTTCTGTTTGATTTCTTTATGTCAATGTTGTGATGCAGTATTATAGGGTTTGTCCCGTTCTGTATCCATTTGTATAAATAAATAAATAAATAAATAAATGTCTGATATGATAAGTATGAAAGAAAATTTTTTTCTGAATCTAGTACATTCAATATTAATATTGGTTACATAAGAAAATTTTCGAGAAATATTTCTTTAAAGTTTTATTACTTCAAATTTATATAAATGATAAAAATAGCAGGAGCCATGAGTAACTATGGTAACCAATTATTTGAAACAATTCCCTGAATGTCAAAAACAGATTTAGTAGCTTCTTGAAGTGTGGTGGCGCGCCATCTTGTTGAAATAACTGTCGTTGGAATTGAGTTGGGTCAACATTATATCAGAAGATATCAGCTAACAAAGTAGTTAGGAAATTACGGGTAAAAGTTTGTTGCTATCGTCGCACGGGTGCTGATTTTGACGTTATTGCGAGCCATTCTCATACTATTGTCATTAGATTTATCGTGGAGATTTTGTTTACCATTTACATCTTGGCATATCTTCCTTTCCTAATTAAGCATTAGCAGTAACAATAATACTCCTTGATATGCTATCATAAACAGTTTGGAGTCTGCTGATTAATATATGGGTTGTCATATTAATACTTTAACTCACGAGCTGAGTTAAAGTACATTAATTTCGTTATCATTAAAAAAGCCCCAACTTTTATCTGGAAAAAACAGAAAAAAAAACATCTGGACAAAGTTATCAAACTGCAACTTTGAAGAAAAAAAGTGTTCTCTATGAGTATAGGTGTCTTTAATATTATTTAACAATATTAATCACATTCAATACAATTTCAATCTATATTTATCTTAATTTGAAAAAAAGTAATAATTAACCCCAAATTCGAACATTTTGATCCCAACTACAAGAAGCGATCGCAATTCCACTTTCTGCAACGGAAACTGAAGTGATTCGATTTTCGTGTCCAGATAAAACTCCTACAAAAAAAACAAAATCGCACGCATACAAAATCGTTAATTAATCTTAAAATTGTCTACTCAACCCATATGATTATTCTTTAAAGTATCCCACATGTGAACATTATTATCATCAGAACCGCAAAATAATAATCTTCCGCTTAGGGATAATCCGCAAGAAGTGAAACCACTGTTTTTATTGGGCGGTTGATAAAAACCGACTTGTTGATCACTTCTTATATCGAAAAGTCGAGCGGTTTTATCTTCAGAACCAGTGACAAAACATTGACCACTAGGATGAAACTACAAAATAATATTTATACCTGCTCGTAGTATAATTATTAATTAATTTTTTATAAGGTTTTTCTTACACAAACGGAATTTACATCGCTTTCGTGTCCAAAAAATGTTTGTTTCGGGTTTTGTTCGCGAATATCCCATAATCGGCAGGTTTTATCGACACTTCCGGTTACGTAAGTATTACCATCGGGGGATAAGCTAATGGAAACAACATCACCGTTATGTGCTTGAAAATCGGTGTTTTTCCGGCCACTTTCCAAATCCCACATACAACTTTAAAAAAATGTATTTTTTTAAATTATGTTGTTACAGAAAACTTCGATATAACAGACTAATACGAAGAATGAAAAAATTTTTATTTGGACTTCAAACTGTTTCAATACACAAGGTTTTGTTGTCGGTCAGCTGAGAGTAATTTAACAAATAATTTTCTGCGTAGAACCATAATCCGAGCTCAGAAGTGGACCATCACGTAAGGATTTTGAAATACCTGAAGTTAGTTCATACAAGGAAAATGGGCTTTTTTGGCTACTTTTGAAGTTATGGGACACACAATATTTTTTTGCTCCATTCTATTTATTAAACATTCAGTACTATCCCAGCCCTTCAAAATGCGCTATGCAAGGGTGTTGTACTATTTTTTCTTTATAAGTTATGACGTAGTTACTTAGCAAGCCGTTCTCACTCTATTTCTTCCTCACTATGAACTCCCGAAAGTGTTTGAATGATTCTGACAGTTTTTGTTGCATTTGTGGTCGTTTTATGTTTGCCAAGCAAAAAATGTATATTAATGAAAATGTCAAAATGTTTTACCAAAATTACTTCAAGATACCAATTATTGATCAAAATAAATCTTGGGCTCTCTACATGTAGCATGACATTGTAAATCATATCTTGAGACCTTAAGACATTGGAATAATGCCAAGATCACAATTACAACAAGTAGTAGTTTCAGTCAAGATGACTGATTTTTATATGTGACTAAAACTGCCGGTTTTAAATTATCATAATATGTATTAAGTATCCGAATGTAGCAAGTGTTACGAAACCCTCTCCTTTTGAATCTGACGATATTCCTCCAATTCCACCAAATTTGGAGAAGAAATCTGATGACGATATCGGCTGTGACATTAGAGATATTCAAGAATCTTAAGACATCGATTCAATTGATTATGAAGGTTCTAATTTTCTTCAGGTTTTATATGCACTAAATGTAAATTTGGACAGGATTTAGGTTTCCCCTAAACATAAATCTGAGTTCCTAGGTTCACGCCTAAAAGAGAGAAATCACCTGGCTCCTGGAACTACTCTTTTAGCAACCTCCTCTTGGTATAAACATCGAGAGAAGTCAATTGAGTTCTTCTCCAAAGGTGGTAGATCATTCCGTACACTTAAAAGAATCATTAGACAATGTTAAAACGATTCTTGAAGCTATTAAATATAAACAGCAAAAATGGAATATACAATATGTGGAGATTTGAAAATTACTGGCATGCTTCTTACACAACAGTCAAGTTTTACAAAATACCCATGTTTTATACGTTTATGGCATAGCAGAGTTAAGGAATAGCACTATGTTAAAAAGAGTTGGCCTATTCGTTCTTGACTCGAAGTAGAAGACACAAATATTCTCAAAAGATCTATTGATTAATTCGAAAAAGATGCCACCACTCTCACTTCATATCAAATTAGGAATAATGAAGCAGTTCACAAAGGCGCTTAATAAAAATGGTGCTTGTTTGAAGTACCTTATAGATAAATATCCCAACCTCAGTGATGCCAAAATAAAAGAAAGGAAGAACTACTGATTTTAAAAATGTGATGATTTCGGATGAAAGAAATGCCTAGACCAGCTTCAAAGAAGTTACCAATAATAAAACTGCTAATTATAAGGTGCTAGTCGCTGTGATGCTAAAAACTTCAAAAAATTAGGTTGTAACATGAAGTTGCACTATTTACACTCTCATTTACATTAGTTTCCTGGCAAATTAGGTGATGTTGGCGAAGAGCAAGGAGAGCGTTTTCGTCAGGACATAAACGAAATAATGTATAAAAAATTTATGCTAGCCGAGTATCGCTGGTTACTTCAACGTGATAAGTCACATAGTCATCACAAGAGACTATCTGGAACAAGATATATGGAACAAAAGCAAAAAAGATTCCATAAAAGATAAATACAATACAAAATTTGGACTGTGTATCCGCGCATCTAACAGTACTGGTCCATATGCTGGGTTACAACTCATTACGTCATTTTAAAATGACCATAAGTTATAATGAAAAAATCGTACAGCACCTTTCGTTAGTCGATTTTGAAGGTTAAGAATAGTACTTTAATGGGGGTGAGGGTGCGATAAATCCTAGGTAGTCCTACTTGTTTTCCGTACTCAGGGTTCTTGCCTTATGGTCTGAATCAGAACCGACACTGCAGTTTTTACTGCTCCTTCACGAGGTGCCCTTGTGCCATACCAAAAGTGTCGCATCTAGACTTACCAGTCTATAAACAGGCCTCCCGCCGGGCTGTCGTTTCGTGGCTTAGGGCTTGCACGGGAGAAAACGTGGTCGGGGACGACTGATATAGTCGAAACCGTTATACCATGCATGCCTATTGTTTGTAGACCTGTTCCACGGACAAGGCATGCGGAGGATACTGGCTTAATTGCCTGTGTCGAGAGGAGACAACCTCATTAAAAACCCCAAAGTGAATGTGGAACAGCTTATGTAGAGCACTTTAGGCTGTTGCCTGACGGTCTAGTTATCTAGGAAGTGATGGCTGCTAATAAGCGGACTCTGGAGACCTGCCCACCTTCAGTTCCAATAGGCTTATAGGGGTATGGGAGCACTGCCCCGATGGACTACCCTTGCTACCCTACTCGTGGGATTTGTATGGAGACGCCCAGTAAGAATAAAACCCTAGACGAGGGGGGATAAACCTCGATCCTAATAAAAAAGATGGAAGATAGCCCTCCATCACAATCTACACTTGTGGCAGCCGGGCCGTCCTCGCCCAACTCAAGTTCTCTCTCTTTGGAAGAGGAGCAGGTTCTTCTACACTCTGTTGGGGAGGAAGATGAGGACGCTGTCAAGGCACTAGACAGTCTAACTCTAAATCAAAAACGCCTGCGGCTGCCAAGGTCTGCTAGAAGGAACCTGCGCAAGGTTATGGGGATCGAGATGCCTTATGAAACTACAAAGCTGCTGTGAGCAGTATAAGGGTTAGATTAATCCACCCAGACTACCCCGCCCAACAGTTCAATGTAAAACAGGTGGGATTGCTACGGAGGGAGGTTATTTCAGCCGTAGACAACATCTAAAAAGAGGGTGTGCGAACAAATGTTCGGTTCGAGACTGGCTTGTGAATACAGCCAACAACCTTCATCCATGAGAGGGTGTCCAGATTAAGACGATCGAGGGGAGAGATATTCCCAGGCCGCACGTCTGTGATGCATTTATCCCAGACGATAAACTTAGTGTTCCTCTCACCAAAGAGACCCTAGATACAATTTGCGCTTGGTGTAAGGGAAAGAATCTCTCGATAAACCCGCAAACGACAATCGGTGAAAAGACGAAAGTTGGATGGACTAATCCGCCCAACTATCCAAGCTGAAGAAATTCCTTTTTCAAAGGAAGTCTCTAGGAGTAATTCTAGACAAACCCCTCCCATGGAATGGACATTTGCAGGGAATTTTACACAAAGCTAGACTATCCTTGTGGCTATCCCCTGAAAGACTGTATTTGCTCTATGTGACTGTGGTTAAACCTATGATCACACACGGAGCAGCAGCCTGGTATATGAAAGCCCGACAGACTTCAGTTATCAGTAAATTTTTACGAATTCAACGAATAGCTGGATTGGCAATCTCTGGTGCGATAAGCACAACGTCAACTCCAGCAATGGATGTTCTGCTTCTCCTATCTCCTTTGCATTTGCATATAGAGAAAGTGGGTAGAACTACCATTTACAGATTTAAGCAATTTGATCAAAACTGTTCCGACATGTTCTGACAAATGGGATCAGGAGGCCATTATAATACCGTGCTATGAATACGATCAGATTTGGCGGGATCACTATCAGTGATTAATGCTCGATCCAGATTGTACTGCCTGAACGGCAGTTCTGGATCGAAAACGAAAATTCTCTGGTTCAGGCAGATATTTGCTTGTTCGCAGATGGATCAAAAACGCCGGAAGGGGTTGGAGCTTACAGTCTGGGTACATACTGTAATGTATTCCAGGCGGAATTATTTGCAACTGACATGAGTGCTAAAATCCTTCTTGAGAGAATTGTGAAGAACATGACAGTACGATTTTTCGGCTCTGGTTAATGACTGTAAGAAAACATTAAACACACTGAGTTGTGATAATAGAGTTTATCTGATTAGAGTCCCAGATCGCTCAGGGATTGTTGGGTCTAGCCGACGATGTTGTATGCCCGACTATGTGCGGAGGACGAGGAGACGGTTGAGCATGTTTTATGCCACTATCCTGCTGTTAATCGTATCAGATTCTCGATATTTAAGGTCGCAGTTTATCTCCCCCAAAGGATCTGTTTTCACCGAGCAAGGTATTAATGTTCGTTAAGAGCATTGGACTCTTAACTTGGAATTTATCAAATTTCACTACGTTATCTATCGAGGTACAATAGATCCTTAGGGTCGCATTGCAAGGTTGGTTGGTCCGCCTACCCGATATACAGGCTGTTTCATGAGGAATGGTACATACGTTAATATATTATAGATTTGTTCATTTTAAGCAGAAAAATTCCGAAAAGCATATGCTCAATTCTCAAAGGTAACTGAGATACAGCCAGTTAATGCATAAACTGATTTATTTAAATGTGTACACAAAATATAGAAATTCGGACATTGCTGATATGGTGATTTGTTACGGTTTCTGCAATGGAAATGCACGTACTACTCGTCGTGACTATAGGAGACGGTTTTCTAACCGAGTGCTACCAGATTCAAGAGCATTTACTCGAACATTCAACAGATTGCATGAAACCGGTTCTGTTCTAAGTACAAGTATTCATTCTCAACGTGCAGGTGTGCAAAGTCGGAATGAAGTTGAACAAATTCTACAGTCGGTCGAACGCAGTCCATCTACCAGTACAAGAAGACTTTCTGCTCATCTAGGTGTTCCTCATGTAAAAGTATGGAGAACATTGCCTACTCATGGCTAGTATCCATTCCATGTTCAACCAGTACAACACCTTGATCCAACAGACTTTGCCAGGAGATTGGAATTTTGTGGATGGGTAATATCGCGCGTGATGAGCTAATCGCTCGTATTACGGCCAGTGCTGTACGCATCAAGGCACATCAGGATAAATTACGCAGCATAGTGCGTGATATCTTCAAGAGATCAGCCAACTGCATCGAGTTAGGTGGTGAGATATTCCAACCCTTCCTTTAAAGTCCAAATTTCTATATTTTATGTACACATTTAAATAAATCAGTTTATGCATTGCACCTTTGCACCTTATACACCTTTGGGAATTGAGCACATGTTTTTAGGAACTTTTCTCTATAACATATTAACGTATGTACCATTCCTCCTGAAACGCCCTGTATAATTTATGTAAATATAAATGTAGTACTTTATGATCAAATAGATATAATACAGCAAAATAATATGTGTCTCATAAGTTCAAAAATAACCAAAAAGTTTCTTGTAATTTCTTGTCATTCTGCTTGTACATAACCTCAGATATCCAACAACAATCAACACCCTTTTTTCTGGAGATCTGTGTATTTTAATGCACACAAATTCACCATTCAATGCAGTCTACTTGGCTTTATATAGGGTGTCACACAAAAAACGCCCTAACCTGTAACTCTGTTATTTACATTCCAATTTTCATGACCCAGGTATCAAATAAAATGGTTTTATAAATACTATGATTCATGCTACAAATAAATTTTTTCCAACACCATCTTCAATTTCAAACAATTATTAACTTTTGTTTTTCAAATTGTGTATATTTTTCTTCACGTCATTGGATAGAGATTGTATACATCCATTTTAAATGTAATTTTTGCAGAAAAAAGACACCTGTATACAGTGTGTCCCGTTAAGGGTACGGAGCGGCTGTATCTCGACAACAGTAAGACCTATAGGTTTGGGAAAAAAGCCCTTATAAGCAAAGTGGGCAAGAGAAATAGCTGAAAATTGTAAATTGTAATAAAATTCCCGCTATCTCAGAAAGTTAGATGATGAGCTATAACTTTGACAACATCATTTAGTAGCTTGGATAATACCGCATCGCTTTTGTTTTGCGATATTTCTGTATATCTGTCATAATAAGGGACAGGGAGGCCAATGCGTTTTCAAATGTTTAAATTTTAATACCTCCTGGACCATTTAACCGATTTGAATATTTTTGGTCTTGTTTGAAAGAGCATTTCATGCTGTTTTAAAAGATATTTTCAGCAAGACCGCTTAGTTTAAAACAAATAAGCTAGAGGGGGTTATCTGCAGTGGTTACATATTTTTGTAATTTTTGAAAAAAGTTAAGTGGAACGGTACTATTTACTTCACAGACCCTTAATCACCATAAAATTTGATAAATATTAGTGAAAACCACATCGAAAAACATTAAAATAGTTTCCTAACATTCTCTTAAAGTTACTTGTGTTATACTGTAGTGTGCCATGGAATAAATAAAAAAACAACTTTTAAGTATCATTTACAACTGCTTCGGGCATTGATATAACATTTAATGACTGTTATCAGTTTTGAGTGTTATTTTTTTCCATGGCACACTACAGTATTACAGAAGTGACGAAGACGATGTTCGGAATGTATTTTAATGTTTTTCTCTACTATAATTACAATTAATGTTGATGTATTGTACATCAATGGGTTCAGAAAACAAATCTCTATCCAATAGCGTGAAGGAAAACGTACCGAGCAATTTGAAAAACAAAAGTCAATAATCGCCTGAAATTGAAGATGGCCTTGGAAAAAATTTATTTGTTGCATGAATCATAGCATTCATCAAACCATTTCATTTGATACTTCGCTCATGAAGATCAGAATATAAATGACAGAGTTACAGCTTGGGGCGTTTTTTGTGAGACACCCTGTATTTATACCAAGGACGGTAGAATCTAAGAGTACTGCTACATCCCGGGAACAGGTGCACAAGTTTCGAAGGCCCGTTTGTGACGTCACATATAGGTAAGCATTTACTTTCACACTTTGAATTAGCAAATGCTTAATTTATTCTAGTCGTGTTTTGTAATGTTATTAGTTTGATTGTGAGACATAATGTTCATAATATAAAATATAGGTATTGGTCGACTTTAGTCGTGCGTCTCTTAAGACTACTAAACCCGTATAGTTCTAGAATCTAATATCGAATAACAATTAAAACTAGAACTAACACTTGCACTAGAACTAACACTAGACCTAGAACTAGAAAGTTTCGGGTTTAGCCGTGCGTCTCTTAAGATGGCTAAACCCGAACGTTTCTAGTTCTAGGTCTAGTGTTAGTTCTAGTTTTAGTTCAATGAGAAATATGCAATAGTATAACGCTGAATAACAACTAAAACAAGAACTAAAATTAACATTATAACTAATACTAGACCTAGAACTAGAAACATTCGGGTTTAGCCGTCTTAAGAGACGTGCGGCTAAACCCAAATGTTTCTAGTTCTGGGTCTACTGTTAGTTCTATATACAACAGTCTACCGCTGAATAACAATTAAAACTATACCTTTTCAAGCTCAAATTGGCACTAATCAGAATCAAAATGACATTAGTCAAAATCAAATTGGCAATGTCAATTTCAAATTGCAATTAGTCAAAATCAAATTGACAATAATCAAAATTAAAATGGCATTAGTCAATATCAAATTGGCAATAAACAATATCATATTGGCATTAATCAACAAATTTAGCACTAATCAAAAGCAAATTGGCATTAAACAAAATCAAAATGACATTAGTCCATATCATATTGGCACCAAACAATATCAAGATGGCATGAAAAATAAATGTATAAATCGGTGTCAAACAATTGTTAACTAATCGGTTATTGTCAAGTTTATGGTAATTTATTGCGAGATTTCAACTATTATATTCACACGAGATGCCTTATTTAAAGAAAAATGCTGCTACAAATCTGAGGACACAGATTTGCGCTTTGTATAATCCCAATGGTGACTGGCGTAATCTTGCAAACGTACCACAGGTGCCAAAAAGAACCGCGTATCGATGGGTTAACAATCAAGAACAACCGGAAAAGCAGCGAGGAGGTAAACGTAGAGCTAAAATAACTGATGAGCACCGTCAATTCATGGTACGTTCAGTCGCAAAAAATCCTAAAATTACTCTTAAAGGACTGAGTGCAAAAATCCGTGAAGATTTTGCACTCAACGTCTCCAACGAATGCGTTCGACAGCATCTCAATGGATTGATGTTTACATTGAAGACTTCTCGTAGAAAACCATAGAACGCGAATAGTATTCAAACGAAAACAAGCAGGAGTATTTATGTAGAAAATTTATTGGATCTTCAAGCACAAAATATACCTATCATATACATTGACGAGACAAACTTTAATTTGTTCATATCGCGGACTCAGGGTCGTTCAAAAAAAGGGACTCGCTGCACAACAGTGTCTGCAGGTTGCAGAGGGTCGAATATTCACCTAATAGGATGCATTGGAAACATGGGGCTAATTCATTCCGAACTACGTCGGGGCTCTTTCAAGAAGCCGGAAGCAAATGAATTTGTGAGGCAATGCCCTAGAAGAGCGCAAGGCCTTTACCAAACTGGAGTTGCATTAGTTATTGATAATGCTCCATGCCACTTTACTATTGAAGAGGTTTTTGCAGAAAACGAATTTGAACACCACACACTTTTACGACTAAGTCCGTACAGCCCTATGTTTAATCCTATTGAACAAGCGTGGTCTGCATTAAAAGCAGGAGTAAAAGCAGATATGGCTGTACAGCTAAATAACATCTTGGCTGGTGCTGACCGGGATCATCTGACTCAAACAGAATATCGAATGCAGAAATTAGAGAACACCGTTCATAATAATATGGACAAGATTACTGTTGCCAATTGCGCAATGTTTATTGCCCACATCCAACGATTTATCCCTTCTGCATTGAATATGCAAAATATAAATTTTTAAGAGTGTTATTTAAAACATAACGTTACCTACTTTCTTAAGTAACATAATTGTTATCTACTGTGTTTGTAAGTCAATAAAATGTTTTTGCCCATTTCATTTTATTTAATGCTGATATATAATTTTATTTCCATGTCAATTTAAAATTCATAAGTGCCAATATGATATGGATTAATGTCATTTTGATTTTGTTTAATGCCGATTTGCTTTTGATTAGTGCTAAATTTGTTGATTTATGCCAATATGATATTGTTTATTGCCAATTTGATATTGACTAATGCCAATTTGAAATTGACATTGCCAATATGATTTTGACTAATGTCATTTTGATTCTGATTAGTGCCAATTTGTGCTTGAAAAGGTATAGAACTAACACTAGACCTAGAACTAAGTTTCGGGTTTAGCCATGCGTCTTATTTTGTTCGTTATATCCGAAGTCCGTTCTAACGAGGTCCGTTATATCGAGATTTTACCATATTTAATTTTATTATTTACATTTTCATATCTCCCGAACCTGTAATTACTGTTTTATCATCGATAAATCTACAACAACTCAAAAAACCATCGTATCCAGCTAATTCTCTAATCATTTTAGCCACACCATTTGCATCTCGATTATTTACATCATAAACCGTACACATATTATCCATACCACCACAAGCTAAAAACAACAAATTAGTACAAATTTATTTGATTTATTAAATTTTTTTATTTTATCTTCATACCAACAAAATTTCCACTTTTTGCAAAAGCAACACTCATCACCCAAGCCGATCTAAGTGGAATAATTTGAACTTTATTTCCGGTATAAGTATCCCAAATGATTAATTTCCCGTCCAAAGAGCCGGTTACACAATGTCTATTGTCGCCGCTATAATGTACGGCATTAACTTTATTTATGTGCCCTTTCATTACTTTTCGACTGATTAATTTCGGTTTTGGAATATCTGGAGATGCCTCGCAAGCGCTTTCTAAATTGACATCGGCCACTTTTTTTTGATCATCCTAAAAAGAGTATTTCAAATTAAAAAAAAACTAAAAGTTTGAATGAAACCTAAAACTAGAAAGCGAAAACTTTTACGTAATAAACTTAGTAAAACCGAATCGAATTGATAAAACACGGAAAACAAAAAAAAAAAGACAATGAAAGCGTAAAAGGAAAGTTTGTAATTCACCTTTAATTTTGCGTAGAGTTCTTCGAGTTCTTTTCGTAGTTCGATTAGTTCCGGATCGTTTTTCGGCGGCATACTCAAAAAGTTCCAAAATACTTTTAAAAATTTACAAAATGTGATTTTGTCTGTATCTGTACAGTTCCTTGGATAGACTGAGAAGGAATTCGTTATGCCATTGCAACAACGATCCGTTGTAATCTTATTTAGCTAATTTAATTGTTTTACACGCATATTTGTGCCGATAATATGAGAAGCCCAGCAAATATAGTACCGTGCCGGTATCGATTTTATTTATTTATAGTGCTTTTTATCTCTACCTACAAGCGGTGGACACCAAAGTACCTTTTACCCATAAATTTACTCCATAACGTAACTCATTTTATAACACAATTTTACTTTTATTATGATTAAAATAATTTAGCTAATGTTTATAAAACAAAATTGATTTTAACAAATAATCACAAATTAAGACTATAATTTTGTATAAGTAATTTTTAATAGAGACTTGAAGTTTTCTTGAATTACAGTCACGTTAAATTATGTGGTTTTTTGAACGGTTTCAATTTCATATTTGAATGAGTTTATATCGGGATTATAAGTTTTTGTGTTTTATGCTTATAATAAATATCCAATTTCAAGGTTCAACGTAAAAACCAGGACGAGTAAACAAAATGGTAATAATGATAACCAAATCTCTCCATAATTGAACAGATTAACAGACTTGGCAACTTACTTTGCTACTTACTGCTAAATACTTTCATTGCAGAAGATTTCAATCAACGGATTTTGAATAAAATTATCCAACAGGACTTTTTTCATTGAATACAAATTTATATCAGGTTTATCATTAACAACGTCATTGTAACAATCCCAATACGATATATAAAATCTCTTGTTGCAGTTTCATCTATTTTTCTTCTCTTCGCTTGTAATTCATCATCACATTCAGTACTAACAGAACTGTCGGTGTTATTGCTTTCGATTATTAATTAAAGCATCCTCTTTTTAATGCAAGAAGCCGTTTTGAAAAATCGCTTTCCTTTCTTGAGAAATAAATTTTTGAAATGATCGACAATTTTTTCGAATTTTGCAATTTTCGCCGATTAAGTTTAAAAAATCCGTATAAAATCCAGTTCTTGGAATATGAGTATGAAAATTTCCCAAAGTGTTAATAAAAGTGTCTGCTTTCCAATGAACCAACCCATTTTGAAAAATTGCTTTTAGTTTTTGAGAATACAATATTTGATGTTTTGATAAAATGTTCGATGTTACAATTTTCATCGATAACTTTCAAAATTTGCTATAAAATTCATTTCTTGAAGGATCCTTGAGGAAATATCACCAATTACTAATTAAAGTATTCTCTTTTTAATGCAACAAGCCGTTTTGAAAAATCGCTTTTAGTTTTTGTGAAATAAATTTTTGAAATGATCAACAATTTTTTCGAATTTTACAATTTTCGCCGATTAAGTTTTAAAAATTCGTATAAAATCCAGTTCTTGGAATATGAGTATAAAAATTTCGGAAATTGTTAATAAGAGTGTGCTCTTTCCAATGAACCAACATGTTGTGAAAAATTACTTTTAGTTTTTGAGATTGAAGTTTTGATAAAATTTTCGATGCTGCAATTTTCATCGATAATTTTCAAAATTTTCTATAAAATTTATTTCTTGAAGGATCCTTGTGGAAATATCACCAATTATTAATTAAAGTGTCCTCTTTTTAATGCAAAAAGCTGTTTTGAAAAATCACTTTCAGTTCTAGAGAAAAAAATTTTGAAATGATCGACAATTTTTTTGAGTTTTGCAATTTTCGCCGATTAAGTTTTAAAAATTCGTATAAAATCCAGTTCTTGGAATATGAGTATGAAAGTTTCCCAAAGTGTTAATAAAAGCGTCCTCTTTCCAATGAACCAACGCGTTTTGAAAAAAAACTTTTAGTTTTTGAGAAAACAATATTTGAAGTTTTAATAAAATTTTTGATGTTGCAATTTTCATCGATAACTTTCAAAATTTGCCATAAAATTCATTTCTTGAAGGATCCTTGTGGAAATATCACCAATTATTAATTAAAGTATTCTCTTTTTAATGCAACAAGCCGTTTTGAAAAATCACTTTCAGTTCTTGAGAAATAAATTTTTGAAATGATCGACAATTTTTTCAAATGTTACAATTTTCGCCGATTAAGTTTTAAAAATTCGTATAAAATCCAGTTCTTGGAATATGAGTACAAAAATTTCCCAAAGTGTTAATAAGAGTGTCCTTTTTCCAATGAACCAACACGTTTTGAAAAATAACGTTTAGTTTTTGAGAAAACAATATTTGTAGTTTGGATAAAATTACCGATGTTGCAATTTTCATCGATAATTTTCAAAATTCTCTATAAAATTTATTACTTGAAGGATCCTTGTGGAAATATCACCAATTATTAATTAAAGTGTCCTCTTTTTAATGCAACAAGCCATTTTGAAAAATCACCTTCCATTCTTGAGAAATAAATTCTTGAAATGATCGACAATTTTTTCAAATTTTGCATTTTTCACCGATTAAGTTTTAAAAATTCGTATAAAATCCAGTTCTTGCATTATGAGTATAAAAATTTCCCAAAGTGTTAATAAAAGTGTCCTCTTTCCAATGAACCAACACGTTTTGAAAAATAACTTTCAGTTTTTGAGAAAACAATATTTGAAGTTTTAATAAAATTTTCTATGTTCCAAATAAGTTGACATATCGTATCAGTTTTGTTATTAATCTCATTTTTATTCAAATATCGCAATAATGTGGCAATATATGGTATCACTTCAGAAATGCATCAGAAATTATAACCATAATGGCCGGATAGATATGTCGGATAACCAGATATCCGGCCGAAGGGGATGCCGAATATACGGTATCCGGCTTTTCGCAAAATCACTATCTGTTCCATCACTAGTTATACAGAGAGAAGAATGTGATGCCAACATTTCTTAAAATGAAGCATCACATCGACTCAGGAACCCGTAAAGTTTTGAACAAAACCTGCACAGTACGCGAAAGGAGTGCTACTACGTGAAAGAAAACACAAGTCTTTCAAGAACCTACAACTGCTTGGCAAGCAACTATTTCGACCACACTTTAAAATTCCCTAGATCTAGGCAAAACTACGACAAAATGGATGGGATAACCTTGGAGAAGGCAGAACGAAAATACCAGAAGATCTGAAATACACAAATCAAGAAATGCGAGTTATTAAGACGTCAAACACTGTTAAAGGAGAAAGATGGTAGTGATAGCTATTGGCAAGCGAAAACAGTTGAATATATCCATCAAAACATCGATAGAGTGTTAAAAATCGTTTCGTAAAAAGAAAACCTTTAGATAGTATAAGAGAAAGAACTGACATAGTCGTCTTGTCTGCAGAGAAAGGTAATGTCACCGTGGTGATGAACAGGAAGGAATACGAAAACAAAATGAATTATGGATGCAGACACTTACAGGGAAATTTAAAAAATTCCACGAAAAATAGATAGTTAAGATGATGAAATATTTAATTAAGTCATATCCCTGTTACTTAATTCCCCCTGCATCTTTCCCCCCTTGCAGAATTTCATCATCTTTGTCTTCTCCAAATACATCTCCAAGTGACCATGCCACATAACCATAACCATAACCATAATTCATTTCCACCGCTTCCTTCGCCACAACCATCGTGTCATTCGCGAACGCCACCATGTGAACCTTTCGCACCACCACTCCTCTCATTTGCCCCTTCTTCAGTCTGCTTTCCAAATCCGCGGTATACAAGGCAAAAAGACTGGGGCTCAGTGGGCACCCCTGTTTCAGACTTCCCGTTATCCAAAACGCTTCGCTTATCGTTTTCCTACTCGAGCCGTCGTTTCCCTGTATATCCATTTCATCCTCTTCCTCAGCTGCTCCGTGAACCCCCTCCTATCCATCTCCTCTCACAACTTCTCTCTAACCACCTTATCGAATGCCGCCTTCAAATCTATGAATAGGGCATAAAACTTCCCTCCTTTCTTATCCAACTCTCTATCCATCAGATATTTTAAGATCATATTATTATTATTATATGACCAGATATTATCAATCGCCTCTCTACCCTTCTTAAAACCTGCCTGTCCATCCGGTAACATCCCCCCATCTTAATCTCCTCCTCTAATCTTACCAGCTATATTTTTGAATAATACGAGGAGAATGAAGCAAGTTCAGATAAAACAAAAAAGAAAAACAAATATTTTTAGTTTATATTTTGCTGCATAGTAATTAAAATCTATTTATTTATTCTAACAACACACGTTGTAAATGGCTATAAATTAAAGTAAATTTTTCAAAAATTTACGCCCGCTTTCATGTTATGATCTTAAACAGTCTGTATTTGCATATGAATTATTTGTAAATAATTCTTGTTTTGTTGTGAGATAAGAATATTCATATAAATACATGAAGTTTGTGCATTTCCACTTAAAGTATCTCAGCAGTTAAAGCTTCCAATACAGAAAAAAAGACAAGATATGGCTAAACTCACCATTTTATTTGTTTTATTTGTTGGTAAATATAAATTTAATATATACTTAATAAATATATATTTTGTAAGAATTTATTAAAATTTAACTTGCAATTTGTTAATAGTTTCAATTGCTTGCGGTGCAAAAATATGTCCGCGTCATCAAGTTTATAATAGTTGTGGTACAAGTTGCCCCGAATATTGTAATTGGGATCCAAGTAAAATATTCTGTACCTTAGAATGCGTACAAGATTGTTTTTGCCAGAAGGGTTTCGTCCTTGAAGCTGTCGATTCGAATAAATGTATTCTTAAGGGAAGATGCTCCGCAATGCCCACTTGCGGACTCAATAAAGAATATAGAATTTGCGGTAGTTCCTGCCCTAAATATTGCGGTCAAGACGATTTCGTTATTTGTGCAGCTGTTTGTGCTCCTGGTTGCTTCTGTAAAGATGGCTACGTTTTAGCTTCCAAATACAGTAATGAATGTATTTTGGAAAGAGAATGTAAGGTTTAAAATTAGTAATTATTAAAAGATGTTATAAATATGTATAAATTTGTTATATGTATAAAAATAAAATAAAATTTTGATGAGCAAATTCAAAGTTTTCTTCTTGTTATAGGACCTATATAGTCCGGTCTATTCTGTCCCATTCCTTCTTGTGATCACCAAACCAATTCCATCACTTGTGGACACTTGGTTCCTGGATTTTTTGTTTTTTCTCATTTGCGATTTGTCCGATTTGCCATTTCAAGGTTGCCTACTTCTTAAGGTTCTCAGTTCAGTAGTCCTTCTTTAGGCTTTTGCGTGGAATGTTTCGGCTCTAGACACGGCCGCATAAATTAGTACATGTCGAACACAGGTTTGGGATATTTGGACTTTGCTATCTACACCTATGTATTTGTTAGACAATCTAATATTCTCGTTGCCTTATTTGCCTGATTCTTCACTTCATCCATCAGTTGCTCGATATTCCTATACATATATTCCAATATTCCTTCTCGCGCGCTATTTTCATATTAAATTTTTCGGCTTTTCTTGTAAATCTATACAGAACGCGTTGTAGGTTGTCCTCGTTCTTTGATGTTAGCATGGTATCGTCTGCATAACATAGGATTCATAGAAGTCGGTTATCCATTTTGTATTCACCGTTGACCTCGTTTACATTTTCAATTATCGTATCTATTATAACATTAAACAACCATAGGCTAAGAATATCGCCTTGCCTTATAACTGCAATCACGTTGGTTTCTTCGAACTGGCTCGGTTGGCATTAATATGCTTCGGATGTATTTCCCCACTATATTGCCGTATTTGACACATATTGAATTCTTGTTTGGTTGAAAATATTTTTCCTGAATCCAGTTGGTTATAGGGACTTGCGTCCGATCAGTATTTAGCCAACTACGTTTAAGATCTTAGAAAAAATCATGAAAAATCAATTAATCCCTTATATTGAACAGAACAGCTTGTTACCAGTTCAGCAATCCAGTTTTCGTGCAGATCATAATTGCATTACATCTATGCTAAGACTCACTGATGATGTTTTGGGTGCAGCTGATAAGGGTATGCTAACAGCGGTAGTACTCTTTGGACTTCTCTAAAGCATTCGACACCATTGATCATACATTACTTTGTCGCATAATGGGGTTATTGGGACTGGGTCGAGGTGCTGTGGCAGTAATAGATAACTATTTAACAGGTAGAACACAAACGCAGTTGGTGATCGGGTATCGCAAGAAGTTATTGTTGGTTCTGGCGTTACTTGATAATAGCTTTAGATACCATGGACAGATTAATGATTATATAAAGAAAGCATATTTCTATGTAAGAAAGCTATATCCTCATAGAGCATAACTGTCATATAATATCAAAAAACAATTATGTGATTATGATATGGCATCAATTTGCCATGTTGCGGTCGACATGGACATGTCTTGTAGTATACAGAAAATACAAAATTGCTTTCCCCGTAACATCTATGGTGTCAGGAAGTATGATCGAGTATCGCAGAGGCTGAAGTATGCGAACTGGTTGAAAATGAGTTCTAGACGCGAACTGCTTACTTTATTACTGTTTCATAAAGTCGTCACGTCACGGACCCCACGATACCTCTATGACAAAATTGCATTTAAGTCAAATGACGGAAGATATCCAACCATGTTTTGACTTACAATCATACCACCTAAGTATAGAACATCATTGTTTTAGCGGTCTTTCACATACCATATCTATAAATCTTACGGTAGCTCGACAATTAAATATGTCGGGTTTTAAAAGGCAGGTAGTTGAGAGATTGAGAGACAGAGAGGATCTGTGCATTACTTAATATGTTGTACATTAAAACAATCTGTGATGTACTTTGGTTTGCGATCGTGCATTGATGTGTAGTCTGAGTTTGTATACATATATTTTGTCCGTATCTTATTTTTTCATCATCCATATTCACAACTCTACTTTTTATGTAGATTTTTCTGTATCCATATATCAATGACGAAGTAATTTCCAATTTTAGGTCCTCTTAACTTTTAATTCTTAAACAATTTGTTTGTTTTTCAACAAATATGTATATGTCGAAACCGGTTCTAAGAAAATTTTAATGAGGCAAGAAAGTTTACAACAACATTCTTAGTTTTAATTTTATCATAATACTGTTAAGGTGATAACATTAAGATAACGTAGAAATTTTTGAAAATAACATTTTGCAGTGAAATGTGAAGCTGTATAATAAATAATAATAATAATAATATGACTTTATTTGTCCCATTAGATGTATATATACATAAAATTATTATAAATTAAGCCAGGACAAATTAGGCGGAGTTCAGGTGCAGCCGTAACAGCACCTGCTCTTCCACTCAAACCTAATAAAACTAATTCTAAATATACAAGAGAGAATAAGAAAAGAAAAACGAAAAGAAATAAGATGGCGAAATCATAATTAATTACGAAGCGTAAACTGCCCGATCCCTGTCGCCTTACAATGCATTCTGAATTTGAGACAAGCGGCCCTTCATTCTGTGACGAAACAACCTTGAAGAAGTGCTACATTTTATAGTTGATGGCAAATCATTAAGAATATGTGTTATTTGGTATGAAAAGCATTTCTTAAATAGCTGGTGATGATGTATCGGCGGGGTAAGAGTGCCCTTGAATCGAATATTCAAGGTATGAACATCGGTATGAAATTTTATTTTATTGAACAAGTATGGAGGTTTCTTCAAAGTAATTATATTAAAGAACAAAACCGCCGAATGAAGTATGCGCCTATTTTTCATGTTGAGCCAACTCAAATCCTTTAATTTGTGCGAAACATGCTGACGCCCCCGTAACCCAAATATCAAGCGCAAGCAAGAATTTTGAATTTTCTGAATTTTTTTCGTATTACTATACGAAATACACGGATCATACAGTGTATCACAATAATTAAAATGCGCTAACACCAAGGCCTCGCACAAAAGCACCCTTGTTCTACGATTGAGGAACGACCGACCGCCATAAATCAGCTTAAGAGCAGCATACGCGGAAGCAGTGCACTTATTGATGTGTTTATTAAAGCTCAAATTTTCGTCCAATAAGACACCCAAGTTTTTCACATAATCTTTCAGCGGCAATACTTGATTGTTGACAACTATCTTGACCCGATCCCGAACAGAATTGTCACTTATCACCTTTCTTGGCCCAAACAAAATCAGCTCTGTTTTAGCTGCATTAAGACAAAGGCAGTGACGCCTAGAAACCAGCTCCAAAGCCTCTATATCCGAAGTCAGACCTAAGCAAGCATCATCGACATCCGATGGCAGAAAAGATATATATAACTGGGTGTCATCCGCGTAGAAATGATGATTACAACTTTTTATGTATCTGTTAAAATGCGATGTGTAAAGTGAGTATAGCAGTGGACCCAAAATTGAACCCTGAGGAACACCGGACGTTGTCGAAAGAAACGATGAAACGCGACCATTCACCTTCACGCACTGCATTCTGCATTCGGCATACATCAAGTCATTGATAGCATTAAAAGCCTTTGAATAATCTAAGAGACACATCAAAGTCAATTATCCTTGGTCTGTGCTTCGTATGACAACGTTCACAATATTCGATAGAGCTGTATTGCAGCCATAATGCTTTCTAAAACCTGACTGTGTAGGCGGTAAAAGGTTGTATTCCGTAACATAGTCCTTTAATTGAGATTCGATTACTCTTTCTGTAATTTTTGCCAATATCGGTAAAATGCTAATTGGACGAAGGTCTTTGAGGTGATCAACATTCGTTGTCTTTGGTAGAGGCAGAACCATGGACCAACAAGTGGAAAATAGAAAATAGAAAAAATAGAAATAGAAACCCTAAAAATAGTGTATAATATAATATGTATATAAACAGGATAATTTATGCAAAAACTTTTGGGTTAAGTCAACCGGAAGTGGCACTTAACCTGAACTTACACCGAACCTTTTTATAAAAATTTCCATTTCACATCATACTTTTTTAAATTGAGAGAAATTAATTACGATAAACATTCAGATTAGTGCTGGAACGGATAGTGATTTTGTGAAAAGCCGGATACCGGATATTCGGCATCCCCTCCGGTCGGATATCCGGTTTTCCGGCATATCTATCCGGCCATTGCAATATTTGAATAAAAATGAAATTAATAAGAAAGCTAATAAGATATGTCAACTTATTTGGATCCAAGATACAAAATGAAATTTTTTGATACTGATTTAACTAACGAAGGAACTCTAAAAAGAGGAAATTAATTTTCCATCACCATTTATCGATGAAAATTGTAACATCAAAAATTTTATCGAAACTTTAAATATTGTTTTCTCAAAAACTAAAAGTTATTTTTCAAAACGTATTGGTTCATTGGAAAGAGTACACTTTTATTAACATTTTGGCAAATTTTCAAACTCATATTCCAAGAAATGGATTTTATACGAATTTTTAAAACTTAATTGGCGAAAATTGCAAAATTCGAAAAAATTGTCGATCATTTCAAAAATTTATTTCTCAAAAACTGAAGGTGATTTTTCAAAACGGTACTTTGCATTAAAAAGAGGATACTTTTATTAATAATTGGCGATATTTCCACAAGGATCCATCAAGAAATGAATTTTGAAAATTATCGATGAAAATTGCAACATCGAAAATTTAATCAAAACTTCAAATATTATTTTCTCAAAAACTAAAAGTTATCTTTCAAAACGTGTTAGTTCATTAGAAAGAGGACACTCTTATTAACACTTTGGGAAATTTTCATACTCATATTCCAAGAAATGGATTTTATACGAATTTTTAAAACTTAATCGACGAAAATTTCAATATTCGAAAAAATTTTCGATCATTTCAAAAATTTATTTCTCAATAACTGAAAGTGATTTCTCAAAACGGCTTTTTGCATTAAAAAGAGGATAGTTTAATTAATAATCGAAAGTGATAACAGCGACAGTTCTGTTAGTAACGAATGTGATGATGAATTACAAGCAGAAAGAGAAGAAAACTAGACGAAACTGCAACAAGAGATTTTATATATCGTATTGGGATTGTTACAATGAGGTTGCTAATGATAAATAAAGTTGTATTCAATGAAAAAAGTTTTATTGGGGTTAAACTTAATTATTATCTGCACTCTCCAACACCTAAAAGAGATACTAATTCCTGTGAATGGTAGAATACTAAGTAATAGGCCAAAGCCGGATATTTGGTAACTATCCGCTATCCGGCCGGATCCAGTAGGATAGTTGCCGGATATCCGTTCCACTACTAATTTAGATATAAAAAGGCAGTGGTACTTTGTCCTAAAAAGAAAGTTTTAAAATTCGGCTTGGCTACTAATAATCATAATTGGATTGTAATCACTTGCTGATAACATTTTAAAGGTTCATTATAAACAACTTTCGTCCATTACATTCTTTCTTACTTTAGTTGTATATCCAAAAACGTCTCTATAGAAGTTAAGGATTTACTCCTATAGGCATAGAAATAAAATCCTTTCTGAATTTTATCTGGTGATGCAATGAATTCCGATAATTTTCTTAGATTATATTTTAAAAAGTTTATCTTTCAATAAATATGTAGATTCTGAGAAAATATAAATGCAGTAAGAAAGAAGTTTACACTACAACTTTATTTTAAATTTATCATATTTTTTTGGATTTGGATAATTTATTAAACATTTTTGTTTTGCTGTTTTGCTGCATTTTCACTTAAAGTATTTCAACAGTTAAACCTTCCAATACAGAAAAAGCGAAAAAGAAAGACAAGATAATGTCTAAACTCATTATTTTCTTTGTATTGGCTTTTGGTAAATATAAATTTAATTTTTAAATGATTTTTAAATAATTTTAATTTTAAATATTAATTATAATTTAATTTGCAATATTTTAATAGTTTCAATTACTTTGGCTACAAAAGATTGTCTGCCTCATCAATACTACGACACTTGTGGTTCAAGATGCCGTGAATATTGTAATTGGGATCCAAGTAATATGCCCTGTACCGCAGAATGCGTACAAGGTTGTTTTTGCCAAGAAGGATACGTGTTGGCTTCAAAAGATAGTAAGGAGTGTGTTTTAAAAAGCGAATGTAAGGATTTTATAAAATGTATAGAAATAAAATAAAAGTTAGATGAGAAAATTTAAAATCATCATTATTGTTAATTTTATTTTCTTTTTTTACTTATACAAACTAAAGACATACTACATTCGTTTCTAGAGATATATCCAGGTTGACAAAAACTTCGTCTGGTACAAACTTGGATACATGAACCCGAATTAACCCAATCAGATCCTTTAAATTTTGTAGTGCATCATTTCTTTGTAACACATGGTTAAGATGGTTAAGATGTTTGTCAGTCACAATTGTAGTCTACCATAATGTGCTACCAGCCTAAGTTACTAATGTGGCATGATGAAGTACCTACGCAAGATATTGGGGAAAAACAGAAGAGATACAGGAAATAGAGGGAAAACAACAAAGTTGGTATGGTCATCTGGTTGGAATGAAAGAAGATAGAATACCTAAGAAAATGTCAAGAGCCCAATGGGAGAGAGAGATTGAGAAGATGGCTAAAAGAAGAGGGAAGAGACTCACCGAGGTACGAACTATAGTCAGAGATACGAAGATGTATAACAGATGGATCCAAAACCCAACACATAAGGTATAAATGGGGGCAAGAGAAAGAAGAACAAATTAAAAATAGGACCATTAGATAATAACCTGATGGTCTAACTCAAACCGCGCAACTATCACCGCAAGTTCGATGAATAGGCTAAGAATTTCACCACAAGACCTAGTGATCCATAAAAATCAGTTTGGTCTAATTTATAGGCTAGTGGAATCATTGGCCCACATTTTATGAACATCTCATGAATGGAGAGCGCTATTGGTCCATGATCACTGATTTTTTGATAATGAGGCAAAAAAGCTTTGGTTTTAACACATGCCATAATATGCAACACAACCAATTTATTGAAGAAAACGTTTGATGAGCGCATACTTTCATAAAAATGGCCTGGATATAAGCTTCCATGAATGACATCTTTCAAATATTTTCTACAGAAATATGCATAGTCGCTAGTCGAACTTGATAACCATACACTTTGGACCAATTGGAAACCAACATTAACAGCGTTATAATGAGAAGTTACGAATATGCACCCTTAGACTACAAGTTATTATATTATTTAATTTCAATATAAAGATTTTTTAGAAAGAATACAAAATGAAACAACACCAAGCTTCAAAATATATTTACTATCATGCATACTATTCAATATGGGATTTGAAAAAGTCATCCGGAATATTTAATGGCACGTGGTAATGATGTTGACATCATTGCCACGGCAAGAAGAGACATGATGAGTGCGTTCTGCCTATTACAAACAGCAGCTAAAATTAAACCCTAATAAAACGAATCCATTCAACACAAAATCTGCAAAACTTGGCCATAGTGAGAGCATAACATCGAAAATGTACAGAAAATTGTATACCTGAAATCACTGGTGATGATTTTTAATGATAAATTCGTGTAATGACGGCAAGTTATTGCATATTTATTTACTTTTAATTTCTTGAACAAAAAAATTATGTTGAGACTAGTGGTGGAACGGATATCCGGCAAAAATCCGGTATCCGTCCTATCCGGCCATTTTTTAAAATCCGGCCAGATTCCGGATAGTTACCAAATATCCGGCTTTGGCCGGATATTAAAAACCTATTACTTAGTACTCCACCATTCACAGGAATTAGTATCTCTTTTAGATGTTGGACACTATAGATAATAATCAAGTTCAACCCCAATAGGACTTTTTCTTTGAATACAACTTTATTTATATCAGGTTTGTCATTAGCAACCTCATTGTAACAATCTCAATGCGATAGATAAAATCTCTTGTTGCAGTTTCGTCTAGTTTTCTTCTCTTCGCTTGTAATTTATCATCACATTCATTACTAACAAAACTGTCGCTGTTATCACTTTCGATTAGCAATTAAAGTATCTTCTTTTTAATGCAACAAGCCGTTTTGAAAAATCACTTTCAGTTCTTGAGAAATAAATTTTTGAAATGATCAAAAATTTTTTCGAATTTTGCTATTTTCGCCGATGAAGTTTTAAAAATTCGTATAAAATCCAGTTCTAGGAATATGAGTATGAAAATCTCCTAAAGTGTTAATAAAAGTGTCTTCTTTCCAATGAACCAACCCGTTTTGAAAAATAACTTTTAGTTTTTGAGAAAACAATATTTGAAGCTTTGATTAAATTTTCGATGTTGCAACTTTCATCGGTAACTTGCAAAATTCGCTATAAAATTAATTTCTTGAGGGGTCCTTGTGGAAATATCACGAATTATTAATTAAAGTATCCTGTTTTTGAGTTGCTTCGTTAGTTAAATCAGTAGCAAAAAAGTTCGTTTTGTATCTTGGATCCAAATAAGTTGACATATCAGCTTTGTTGTTAATTTAATTTTTATTCAAATATCGCAATAATGTGACAATGTAGGGCAGTGGTGTCCATAAGGTCGATCGCCAACAAAATCATGTATCTGAAATATCTAAATGTAGGCCTCAGAGCTAAAAAAATAAAGGAAGGTTAGTTTTAAAATGTAAAAAGAGAATTTAAACCCTTCGGTCGATCTTGGCAAGACATTTATATGATGTAGGGTATCACCTCAAAAATGTACCAGAAATTATAACCATAATGGCAAGATAGATATGCCGGATAAGCGGATATCCGGCGGAAAGGGATGCCGAATATCCGGTATCCGGCTTTTCGCAAAAATCACTATCCGTTCCATCACTAGTTGAGACCAAAGACAAACTTCTCAGCCTTTGTAACTTTTGAGCTTATTAAAAAGTAGGTTCTTTTAATCAAAGACACTTCCATGTTTACGAAATACAATTTAAAAAAAACATAAAAATATCATTCCTATATTATTTACATGACTAATTACTTTTTAACTTTTACATTTTAGCTTTTAAGCAATTTAAAAAAATATTTTTAAACATATAAAACATTAAATTTGGTGTATGACAGGTATGTATGTATTTACAACAAAAAAAAACATTTTTCTTCTAGATAACAAAAAGGTATCATAAAAATTCTCAAAGGAACGTCTCTAGATAACGAAATTATACGTGAAATGTTGCGTAAAATTTTTTCCGCCAGCTAGAAATTATAAATTCCCAACCGTGCCGTTCACAATCACCAGTTACTTATCAGAAAATGTGGCGACCGTTACCGTTTCTATACTTATTCATTACCTTTATAAGTAAGTTCAATCTTAAACATAAGGAATCAACTCATAAAGTTATTAAAAAAATATTTAAGTTTATTATTTAATTTTTTACTTCAGCTGTGCGATCTGAAACGGATCAATGTGATATAAACAATATAAAAGAGTGTAAAGAATCGTCGTCGGCGTTCGTTTTACCTCAAAACACAACTAGTATTAATTTGGGTAAGTTTTAATCATTAAAAATTTTTAAAATTTAAAGTTTAAATTTTAAAATTATGCGGGAATCCAATTCTTCGGAGTGCCAACTTTAAAACATAAATAATCACTAGGTGACGTCTTCGGTTTTCGGTGGTGTCGGTGTAATGTCTGCGGTGTTGGTTTTAGTTTTTTAATTAATTTTGCAGTAAATATCGTTTTAAAATGGGTTTATTAATTATGAAATTAAATAGCATCATGCTATTCTTAGTATTAATCGTTAAATTTGTGCCATTAATTAATTGTTCAAAAAATAGTGGTAAGATTAGATTTTATTTTCTAATGTTTACATTCCGTGTTTTCGTCCTGTGTTATTTGTTTTTATTTTAATTCAAAATATATAAATAAATATTTGAAAATGCTTCATTTATTTGAGTTCGAATTGAAATTTTTCATTAAAAAAATGTAACGTTAAATTGTTATCATCTTAAAAAGGAAGTCATGTAGGGTTAAACAAATATTTATCTCTTGGATGATGTAATTACCAGATGCTTTCTTTGGTTTGTATTGGACTACGTGACATAGTTCTTTTTTAATTCGTATTGAATCTGACTCAAAAGTTATAAATAGTTTTATGGTTTCGTTAAATTATTACAACTAGCTGCGTAACTTTACACTTTTTGTTTGTTAAATTGCTCGTAATCGATAACTTTCCGGTATACACTTTCCATTTTGAGTTATTTACGTAAAACACTATTTAATAATTTGTCGTATTAAGTTGATTTTGTAATAAAATCAAAGAAAAAAACTGATTATTCATGCATAAGAATTAAAACGCGATTTATACGATACATATTTTAATTAACAAATTGTTTATAATGATTATTATGAAAAATACCTTGAAAATTACTTGCAACAATCCGTTTAACAACAAAATTGCATGGAAAACTAAAACAGTTATTTTCACAACGCCAATTTAAATTAGACAGGACCGTAATTACAACATCTGGAAAATTGATCAGATTATAATTACATTATAACGGTAAAATGCAAAGTTAACGGACCCACGTTCTATTCGGCTGCTATATTTCATTCTTCTTGCACATTTTCAGCAACTAGAGTGTAAAGGCGAATGCAGTTAAGTGATTGTAACGATGTCCCATGATAAATTTAACCTACTTTTCCCTAACAAAGAAAGAAAAGACATTTTAAATTAATTTTCTAAACAAAATGCTCTTATCTCTATAAATGTACCTTATTTCATTGAAAAAAATCCTTTTTAAAATTTAAAACTGTCACGATGACATTACTTTGAAGTTTCACGTCAAATTTAACCTATATGTTAAACGTCAAAGTAGATAACTTTTTTATCCAGGTAAAGAATAATAAAATTATAAATTGGTGTAAAATGTAAGTTTATGTCCCATTACTTCTTATATTAAAACCATTCTCATCTTAACTAATTACGTGACAAAAAATGGCTAAATTAATGTTGATAAATAAATTTTAACAATTTTAGAAAAAAACATTTATTATTTTTTTTTCTCATAGATGGGTCCTTTTTCAAACTGTTAAAATATAAAAAATTATTTTTGAGTAAATATTGGGCTTTGAAAAAACCCTGGTCTAAACAGATATTTTAAGCTGGTTTTCTAAACAAAATTCTCTCACATTTATAAATTCATCTTATTTAATTAAAAAAAAATCATTGACATTATTTTGCAGTTTTACGCCATACATAACCTATATGTTAAAATTCAAAGTAGATACCTTTTTTATCAAGGTAAAGAATAATTCAAAATTGGTGTAAAATGTAAATTATGTCCATTACTTCTTATATTAAAACACAATTCTCATTTAAACTAATTACGTCATCAAACATAACTAAATTAATGTTAATAAACAAATTGTAATAATTTTAGAAAAAAAATTTATTATTTTTTCTTGCTCATAGATGGCGCCTTTTTCAATCTGTCAAAATATAAAAAATATTTTTTGAGTAAATATTGGGCGCCGTCTACTTTGAAAAACCCTGATCTAAACAGATATTTTAAGCTGGTTTTCTAAACAAAATTCTCTCACATTTATAAATTCATCTTATTTAATTAAAAAAAAATCATTGACATTATTTTGACGTTTTACGCCATACATAACCTATATGTTAAAATTCAAAGTAGATACCTTTTTTATCAAGGTAAAGAATAATAATAAGAATAAAAATTGGTGCAAAATGTAGGATTATGTCCCATTACTTCTGATATTATAACACAATTCTTATTTAAACTAATTACGTCATTAAACATAACTAAATTAATGCTAAATTAATAATTTATTATTTTTTTCTTGTTCATTTGTTCTACTGTCAAAACTGTCAAAAGATATATCATTTTTGAGTTAATTTCTATTTATTTTTCAGATAATGTACTAGTCTTTACGGTGGCAACGTCTGAAACTGATGGTTTAAACAGATATTTGCAATCAGCTCACGAATACAACATAAAACCGATCCTTTTGGGTTACGGTAAAGAATGGCAAGGAGGAGATGTAAAACGAAAACCTGGCGGTGGTTGGAAAGTAAATTTATTAAAAGAAGCCTTAAAAGACCTAAATAAAGATGAGAATAAAGAGAGGATCGTTATATTTACGGACGCTTACGACGTGATGTTTTTGTCAGGTTTAAAAACGATTGTTGAGGCGTTCAAAAAGACCGAAGCAAAGGTGTTGTTTAGCGCTGAAAGTTTTTGTTGGCCTGATAAATCATTAGCTGAGAAATATCCCACAGTAACGAAAGGAAAACCGTATTTAAATTCAGGAATGTATATGGGTTACATAAAAGAAATTATGATGTTGTTAGAAAGAAAAGATATTGAAAATATGGATGATGATCAATTATTTTTCACTGAAGCTTATTTAGATGATGAATTAAGGGAGAAATTATCAATGAAATTGGATCATGAAAGTGAAATGTTCCAAAATTTAAATGGAGCAATGAGTAAGTTCTATCAATATAAGTTCTTTTGTTGTTATTCTTTTATTAATTTAAGGTGAAGTTGAAATAAGAAATGATAAAGAAAACAAGATGACTTTACGTAACGTTGTTTCTCATACAAATCCATTAATTGTCCACGGAAATGGATATTCAAAAATAAAATTAAACCAATTAGGAAATTATTTATCAAACAGTTGGGATGCTGAAGAAGGTTGTCAATACTGCAAAAGTGGACAGATTGATTTAGATCTAAATAAAATTGAAGAACTTCCCATTGTTTTACTATCGGTTTTTATTGAATTTCCAACACCATTTTTGGAGGAACAATTAGCAAAAATCGCTCGGATAGAATATCCTAAATCAAAAATACACTTATTTATCCACAACAAAGTATTAAAAAGATATTTTTTCTTACATTTTAATATTTTTTTTGATTTTTAGGAAAAATATCATAAAGACCATGTTGAAGCATTCCTTTCAAAACATCTCACTGAGTATTTAAGTGTAAAAGAAATTAAACCTGAAGATAGCATTACTGAATCAACAGCAAGAGATATTTCAATGTAAAAGTTTTTTTAATCATTAAATCATATAATTAATTATTTGAAAACGTTAAAAACATCAAGGATCATTAAGAGTTTAAGTGAATTACTTTAAATGGTTCCTAATCGCTCACAAGATATTTAATTTAAGTAGCTCCAAATCGCTCCCAATATTATTCACTTTTAGAAGCTCCCAATTGCTTGGTAAGGCGCCCAACTGCTGTTAGTACACTTCAATATATCACACTCACTCTGAATTGTCAATAACTAGCAACTTCTTCAAATATGTTTTATTTTTACTATCTTTTAGTAGATGCTTTACTTTTCGCTTTAAGGACCCTCAGTGACTCCCAGTTGGTTATTTCGCTTTCAGTATATGTCAATATCTTTCAGACACTCTAAAAAGCTCCAAAATTGTTACCAATTGCGCCCAATACTTTTTGCCCCAAAACGTTTTGTTTTTAAAAAATGTCAATGAAAGTCTGTATGGCTCTCAATTACAATTACTCTACTATTTATTATTGCAATTACTCAATGTCCCCAATTACACTAAATTAATGCTTAAATGGCTTTCAATACTTCTGCTGTTTTGAAAGAATTCAATGAGCACAAAACCTCGCCACAGTGACTCTACATGAGTTCCAATAGCTCTCCATACAACCCTATATCTCTTAATCTCTTACTCACTTTAAGGAAGATTTATGGTGGAGCACTCATACCTGTAAGAAATAATTTTAAGGCGTCTTTGGTGCTCAACATGGGCCTTCTGATATAGAAAGGATAGAAATATTTACAGAAATAGATATCTCTTAGGGGCTCTATCTTTCTGAAAAAATTGCTAGTCTTGTTACTGACAATTATAACTTGGTCTTGATCTGTTGGTGGCAAACTATGCCTGGAATGTTTTAGATATTTATTGCAATTTAAATTATTTCAACCTCACAATGATAATTTGATAATGCTTTTTTTTTCACATACCTTTCTTCTCTTCAGTTTTCAGACATGGAGTTGTGCTTTGTTTGTGTTTTTAAGTAAATCTTTTGATTTCTTCCTTAACTGTTGGAATCCGGAGATCTCTATGTATATCAGAATTTTGCACATGCCAATGAGCATTAACTATGTTTCATAGCAGTTTATTCTGGAATATTTAAATACAGTTGGTGTTCAAATTGCTGGTACAGTCCGTAGAGCTGGATACTGTAGTGTTATATTGGTTTTAGGATTTCGTCGTAAATCCGTAATTTTTAGAGATTAAAAGTGTGGAGTTCCTCCCAATCAGCCAATAGAGCTATTTGTATTTTAATGCTAATTCCGCTTTTTTCTTCTGTACATGCTCCTTCCACCTTAGATTGGCGTCCAGAGTCACAATACATAGTTCCATTTATGAAAAGAATTATGATCAAAATCCATTTTACCAATATTTATATAAGGAAAAAAATAAATTTGTAATTATTATGTACTTTTTAACTGGTCTTTAATTGTTAACTATTCAGTCTGATTAGTTTCGGCGCTTAGTATCATCAGAGACTATGTCGCTGAAACTAGTCACAAACATAGTCTCTGATGATACTAAGCGCCGAAACTAGTCACAGTGAATATTTAACAATTATATACCAGTTAAAAAGTACATACATAATAATTACAAATTTTTTTTTCCTTAGTTCCATTTATGTTTAACGGTTTTTAACGTTTGTTTGTAAAATTAATATGGACGAATTTCAACTCATTTAACTTTATACTCCAATGTTTGGCCCAGTTGAAAATTGCATTGCTGTTATATGTATTTTCCCAGTGGATAACTTTTGATCTTTCTCCACTAGAAGTAGTCCTGTGTCACTTGCCAACATAGTCATTATAGTCACCCCCAAATCTAGTATGTCATTAGTATATAGCAGATACTGGATAGGACTCAGTATATTGCTTGTTTAACTCTGAAGAGTCTGCCCTAAATATACGATATTAATATCTCTACATATTACATTGGAAGCATAGGCCTCAGTCTTTTGAGCAATAGTTTCTCAAAGAGTTTTGAGACTAATGGTGATAGTGAAATCGGTCTGTAAGATTTAATATTGTTAAGTTGTTTTCTTGCAACATGATAACCTCCGCAAATTTCGAGCATGCCAGTATATGTTTTAATTTAAGCATTGAAGAACATTATTATATTTTCTCTAAGTAGTGCTTCAGGATTTCTCCCATGATGTGGTCGCATCCTGGAGTTTTCTTTTACAGGTTAGTTCTTATTTCATTTGCTTCATCTTTAGAAGTAACTGGTGTGATATTTTCTGCTCTTTGGTTTCCAATATTGGTCATTTCTTAATTATTTTGCCCTGGGTTGAGACTAAAGATCTCATCCAGATGTTCAGCAAACAGCATCCGGTTTTGCTTATTGTCTCTAGCCCTCGGTCCAGTGTTGTTGCTAATATGAGGAATAGAGGTTACAGGTCTTTTGACCTTCTTGGTTGCCTTCCATAGTAAATAATCGGTCTGCTCACATACTGACAGTTCTTCTAGATAGGAGCTCATGGATTTTTTTTAAGCTTTTGAATCTCTCTTCTGAGTTTTTGGGACTTATTATTAAATAGAGCTTTGTCTGCGGAAATCCGTTTTCTTCTAGCTCTTCTTTTACTTTGACCTTTGGCTACTTGTTTTACCTCTTTAGTGTTGTTGTACGCCGTAGATTGGGTTGGGTTGCGTTCTTCATAGAAGTTGAAAGATACTTTCCTGGTGATAGGCCAGTCGATCGGCTTTCGTGTGGAGTGGTAGTTGCAGTTCCTCTCTTGGATTGCTTTCTTTAATTCTCTTCCTCGTGGTCAGCTTGAAGACCCACTCTACTACGTGTTTGGCGTTGTAGAATGTATTAGAAGTAGGTATTCTTCTTTTATATGTCTTTGCGGGTAGTTAATTGCACCGAAACTCAACTTTTGTTTTGATAACATAATTTCGATTACTGTCGGTTGAATGTTCTCTCTTTGCAGATAGTATTTTTCGAATTGGTGCTATATATTTTATAACCTCTTATTTTAAATCTTATTTATACATGTGAAGTAAATCCTTAAGGACCAAGAAACACTCTATTGAGTCATGTATGTCCCAGTACAGGTTTAGGATTGGAAGTGGTTTAGTAAAGGTACAAAATAAAAATTTTAGGCACGAAATTGGGTAAAGCAAATGGTATGTATGTAGGAAAGCGGAGGGTATGCTTCCGCATACAGCACCTAGGCCCCAACGGGCCCCTTGTACGTCCTCCTACACTCTCTCCGGCTACATCAACCAGCCTAAGGAATTTCCGAAGGCTAGGATACAGCTCAGAGGTGTGTTCCTGATACCATCTGTGGTCGGCCATTCCTCTCCGAAGTCTCTCATTCTGAGGTCTTGCAGAGTGGGGCATTCACACAAGATGTGTCGGACCGTCTCCTCGCTCTCTTTACAGAGGCGACAGAGAGGACTAACAGCAAGCTTAAGGTTATAAAGATGCTTGTTTACCTTACAGTGACCCGTGACGAGTCCCGTTACAGTTCGTAGAGCGTTTCTGCCAAGCCTTACGAAAGACAAGGCTGCCTCTGCTGAAGGATAATGTAATACTTCCTTAGACAGATGGCAGCCCTTAACCCTATCCCACCAGTTCATAAACTTTTTGTGGGTAAAATCTTTAATTATCTCAATCTGAGTTGATAAGGACGGAGCGATTATCGGTTCAGGCGAACATGGCGCTCGCTTGGCAGCCCTTTTGGCAAGCCTATCAGCGTGCTTGTTACCTGAACAAGTCGAGTGTCCTTTTATCCATTGAAGTATGACACAGTTATGCACTGCGGCCTTCTCCAATGTCAGATGACAACCCATAACAAGTCCTGAGGTAATTGTTATTCTACTCAGGGCTAAAATAGCTTGTCTACTGTCAGTATAAATTGTAAAAGTCTTACCTACCAAGTTGGATCTGACAATAACGTCAGCGGCAAGTTGTATGGCGATTAACTCCGCCTGTATGACGGTGGTACTTATACCTAAAGGTTCAGATACGTGGAGTCGGAGATCGTACGAGAAGACTCCGGCTCCAGCTCCTTCCCGTCTCTTTGAACCATCAGTGTAGATTTTAAGGCTGTTTTTTACCTCTACTTCTGTGGAACTTGGGTGGGTGAGATATTTCTTCGTAAAAATGTGTTGTAGGGGTGTAATGTCCGTTACACAATCCAGAATTGGTGAGTATTCCACCATTTCGTTCCAGAGATTGGCATTTTTACTGTTTCTCTCACCCATTAGAATTCCTGCTGCTCGCAGTCGAATCATGGTCACCAATGCCACCTCTTGGATGAACAAATGAAGTGGCGTTAGGTTTAACATGTTTTCCATGGCTGCAGTGGGGGTAGTCCGCAGCGCACCTGTAACATACAAACACGCAAGTCTCTGTACTTTAATAAGTGCAGCAGTAGATGTAGACTGTAGGGTCTTTGACCACCATACTACTGCACCATATGTAAGCATAGGTCGGATTACAGCCGTGTAAATCCAGAGGGCATTTTTGGGTGACAAACCCCATGTCTTACCTATAGCCCTCCGGCATTGACCGAATGCAACGTACGCTTTTTTAACTCTATTATCTAGGTGGGCTCTCCATGTCATTTTATTGTCAAGCGTGATGCCCAGATATTTAACTTCTTTTGACAATGCCAATGGAGTATTAGCAAGGGATGGCATTCTGGGCTTGCCAACCTTCCTCATCCGTGTGAAAAGAATCAACTCTGTCTTCTTAGGATTCACAGAGAGTCTTTGTTCGTCACACCAGGTCTCTATTAATTTAAGAGCTACTTGCATCCTATCAAACAGCACGTTTATATACTTGCCTTTGACGAGAATGGTTAAATCATCTACGTAACCAACTGTGATAAAGTTGGCTTCAGCGAGGCAGTTCAAGAGGCTATCCAGAGCTGTGAGTGTGGACTTGCCCTGAGTGTAGGCGTGTTGATTAGGATTTACTGGTTTGGTTGGAAGACAGAAATCTCTAATGTAGCGATCACACAGTCTTTCCAGAGTTTTCTAAAGAAAGGAGGAGAAACTGATTGGTCTAAACGATTTCGGTGTGAAATAATCAAGCTTACCCGGTTTTGGTATGAAGTTCACTGTGACCTCACGCCACCGACTGGGTATATAGCGCAGCGCCAGGCTAAAGCAAATATTGCATAGGGTTACTTTGCAAGTAATATATAAAATCTTAGTATATATTTTTATTCATTTTGTATGATAATTGGTCTTCTGCATTTTACATGTGCCAGAATAAAGTTGATCCGCCACAGTGTTGGGAAAATAATGTTCTGGTTGGCTAAAACCTTTACTTTGAATAAGTAACCAGTTTATTGAGATAGTATGTTTTACTACAATTTTTTGGTTTCGCTGTAAATTATGATTTGTGTTATGCTCTGATTTTTCAACCTACTAAACTAATAATAATGACATGGTGGGTGGCAATTATTATTCATTACACCATCAGCATACTGACAACAATCTATCATCAAATTTTAATTAAAAAAGCGCTTTGGAAAGAGTTGAAAAAAACATGCAGTTTGTGCTACTACCTATTTATCTTTGCCAACATCACTGCTTCATAAGAAACTTAAACTACAATGGATTCTACCTAATCATTCCAATCGAAGTTCTTCTTTGTCAGAGGCATTCTCTTTTAAAATCCGAAAAATGTTCACTCATAGAATAGCAAGAATGTGACCATAAGTTAAAATAAGTTTTTCTGAAAAATGTAAGAAGGAACCAACATTTTCAAACAAGTCTGAATAAGTTTACTGAACTTAGATGAAGTAACACCGTTGAGGCAACCCTTGTGTGAAATTATAAAAACTCGCCAGAAATTTTATGCACAAAAGGGATTTCTTGATAACTTTTTAACGTTTTCCTTTTACATACTTATTCATGTATCTACAAAAATTATCCGCTTTTAATAAAATTAAAAACAATCTTTTTAGGGATCAATGTCTTTTGAGAAACTGCGACGTTTATTTTTCCGTCGATTCCGTGGCTCACATCGACAATCCTTACACTTTAAAATTATTAATTGAGCAAAACAGAACAGTTGTGGCACCTTTATTGGTACGCCCAGGTAAAGCTTGGAGTAATTTTTGGGGTGCTTTAACCACCGACGGTTTTTACGCAAGATCTGATGATTACATGGATATTGTCCACAATAAAAAACGGTGAGTTTTTTTTATTTTTATTCAAATTAAAGTAAAAACTAAGTTAATATTACAAAGTTATTCGACAATAATCAATTTGAAATAAAATTTTTAATCGAATGCTATACTGAAATCGGTTTTAAACGACCGTCTATCGATAGAATACATGTTATCAGCGGTGCATTCATATAATCCGGCGTCCATTTGTGTAGCTGGATCAATTTCCAGTTTACTTTTTACTTTATCTGTGCCAATACGCCATTCGTGAATCTAAAAAGTTAAAATATAAATTATTTATGAGTAGAAATCATTAAATATGATTACGTTTAGGTATAAATGTGAAAAAATTTCTGATCCATCTTTATACCAAGTGATATGAGGTCTTGGATTTCCCCTAGCAACGCATAAGAAAGCAATTTTATGCCCCAAAACGTATTCATAATCGAAATGAGACGCTAAAATTATTTTTGCACCCTAAAAAACGTTTATTAAAACGATTTATTAAGATTAATCGAATTATGTTTACGTTTTGATTGTTGTAATATTGATCTGATTCTGGATCTCGATATTTCCCCGTTATTGGCAGTCCAATTTGAAACTTAAAAGAAAATTAGTTTATTTTTATGAGGATTTTTATTGATTTACTTTTGATTTTGTCCGTCCTCTTCCTCTGCCTCGCCTCGCTTCCCCATCGTCCACAATTAGGAACAAAACCAATAAAAATAACCCGTTAAATCTCATTTAAATGGAAGCTCGTGCTTGCACCCGAACGTTTCGTTAAAAATTGCGCTGAAATAACTACTATCCTATTTATTTGCGGCAATTTGTTGTGCTTGCCAATTTAAAATAATTGAGAGTAAACGGGTTTGGAGAGCGAGGGTGACCCGAGAATATTGCAGTATATAAATGTACTATTTTAAATAAGAATACAATCTCAGTACTTATTGTTAGTTATATTTTATTATAGATTTAGTTATTGCGTATATGGTGAAAAAAAGTTTAAAGAATTTATGTTTTATTTTAAAGATTAATATGTAACCATAACATAGTCTGTTCTAAATCCTCGAATATCGATTGCATATTTATTATTGGCTTGGCATTCGTAATAACCGGCATCTTTTTGGGTTGTTGGATCGATTTCCATCTTTGATTTCATCGTGTCGTTTCCGATTGGCCATTCATGAACCTAAATTAAAATAAAACCATAGTTAAAGAAGTAAAAAATACGTAACAAATTAGAACATAATTAACATTTAAATTTAAATAAAAAGTTTACTTCTTAGGTTAAAAATTTAGATTAAATTTTTTCTTCAAAATACGATAATTACTTGAAAGAATTTATGAGCATATAATTCAATTCCATCTTTAAACCATGTTATTTCCGGCCTTGGAAAACCTGAAAAGTTAAAACGATCTAGAATTAGTGAAATTATCTTAAGAATGAATTGAAGCATTTCGAATTTGTAATACATTGAAAAGGTATAAATCATTTATTATCGTTTATTTACCTGTAGCCATACAAAAAAATGTTATTTTCCTACCCAACATGTAATCCAATTCGAAATGGCTGGCTTTAACAATTTTTGCACCCTTAAATGAACAAGACGATAAAAGTATTAATGTTTAAAACAAATATTTTTAAGATCTTACATCTTTATTTTCGTAATAATTAACAGCCGCGGGATTTCTATGTTGAATTATAACAGGCATACGAGAATTATACAATCGACCGCGCCCCCTTTTACTACCTAAAACGATTTGAAAAAGCACCCCAATAAAATAAAAAAATAATAAATGTTTCTTTTTAATTTTCGAAACTTTTAAGAGTAGTAATAAGCAATAATTACTGACCCATTCGACCACCAGCTCCTCTGGCTGAAAATGATTCAGAAAAACACCCCATTAGAACTAATACAACCACAAACAACGTTTTTGTACGCATCTTCCGGAAAGAAAACTCTTTACTACGCTTAACGGGCGATTGTTTTCGAAATCGTACTCAAGCTCATTGTTAAATTTTTTTGTTTACTAGCCCTGGGGAGCGTAGTAAGTGAGAAGAACCCCAACTCTTTTCGATTGGGTCAATGTCGGCGCAATCTTTCAATAATCGTTAAATTGAACAAATTGTTTTCTTTAAAAATTATTTAAATAAACGATTTATTATAAATCACGTGATCGATCTATATTATATCTAAGTATACAGTAATCACTCGAAAATTGGAATCAATTAAAACAAGGCTAATTCGGATTAAACGACATTTCGAATTACAAAATAAAAAGTACATCATGTGATAGGAAGAACAATCACAAAGGATATTGACAAATACCAGGCACAAAAAGGACTAATCAAATCAACCATATCTCCAAGAGTATCGTCATCAATTATTGATGTACGAACAAGAAGAGGTGCAAATTGTGATAGCGACCAAGTCGAAGCTAAGGTCCATCAAAGACCAGCTAATATAGGAAAAAGTAAAAGATGCAGAAATACAAGAATAGTGCAAATAAGATATCTCTAGTAAAATGGAAACCATAAATATAAATAATAGCAGTGACATAGACGAAAGTTAGGAAAAATTAGCAAAAAGTGTTACAGATATGGTAATAACAAAGGCTGGTTCGATAAGGACTGTGCAACAATAATGAAAGAAAAGAACTTCGAACCAGATTGCTACAACGAAATAGCGAATAGAGAAACCTATAACAGATCTATATCAAAAAGAAAAGAAGCAACAAGGTTGTGCAGAAAAAAGAGAAGAACTGCAATGAAGAAGAGATTCATAGAAATAGAAGAGTAGTACAGAAACAAAAACACCAGAAATATATGTTAACGAATTAAATGGAAGTCAACAGAATATCAACCCAGATTGAATGTGAGTAGGGTTAGAAACGGAGCTATACCGTCGGAAGAGAATGAGGCCTTTGAACGCTGGACGCAACACTACAAGAAAACTTTGAATGTTCAGATCAATGAAGATAAAAATAAAACCGTGGAACCTGAAATAGAAACGCCAACAGCTGACGAAATGAAGGCAGCAATAATAAAGTCGAAGAATAACAGATCTTCTGGTGAAGATAATATCACCATTGAGTTAATTAAAAATGGTGGCGACATACCTATCTCTAAGCTATATAATATGTAACATATGGTAAAATGAGGTAATGCCAGAGGACTGGAAAACTTGTCTTATATGCCCAGTATGCAAAAAAGGTGATAAATTAAGTTGTGGCAACTGTAATAATAATAATGATAAGAATATTTATTGATGTACCTCAAAATAACAAAGATACAGAAATAGAAATGGAAACAGAGTACACAGAGGTCATCAAAAGGGGTTGAGTCAATATATCTGCAAACAGCTATTGTTTTTCATCAACCTCTCGAACAACCTAAAATAATAATTATAAATATATTATTAATAATAAATTAATGATAATGAATATATATGTTACAGTCATTGTGATTAAATTGCTACTATACCTAATGACTGGTCATTATATATAATAACGAAATTGTCTAAACAATGTGATAAATTAATCACTTTATCCGGATATTATTCATAACAACTGTTTAAAGTTAGCCAAAGTAATAAATATAATCCAACTGACATGTTACCTCAGTACATCAGCTAAACACTGACACATTTAGTACATCAGCTAAAGTCGGATTAAATAGTCTTCCTAAAGAGGTGCTAGTTGAACTATCAACAGAAGAAGAGCTAGAATCTATATTAAATGAAGACGAAAACCAGTTGCATGAGGAGAGGGAAGCCGAGCCCAATATTACCGACCCTGTGATTAATGAAGAGGAAGAAATCGAAAGCGATACTATACTTTCAAACGCTGATTTGCAAAATGAAATTGTAAGCAGATAAAATGTTAGCTCTATCTTCGGTAAAATATCCTGCTGCTAGTACGGGTGATAATGTAGTGGCAAAAATTCCTGATGTAGATCGCGCCAAAGCCGATAATAGAAACATTATGGCTGTTATAATTTCTCAGGAGACAGAAGGAATGTATAAATTAGGAACTAAGCATGGGATTCTAAATCAACTTTACGCAAGAAATCAGTTCACTGTCTGCAAAGAAACGTTTATTACAATTGATATCGTTCCCCAACACGAAGTTAACATCAGAGAATGTGCAAAAAAAGAGTCACATCTTGGCGGCCAAGCATTGTAACTGTACTGGAGAATGCGTTTCTAATAGGTGTAAATGTAAAAAGTCAAGCCTCATGTGTAACTCAAAATGTCACAAGAGCCTTACTTGTAAGAATAAATAATAATTATGACTCAGTTGTTTTTAAATATTATTATTGTAGTTACATAATTCATGTCAGTTGAATTTAAATATTTTATTTTTTTAGTCTTTATAGAGTGATACCAAATACTTGTATTATTCTCTGTTCTTTTTTATTATTTTGTTTTATGGCTAGAGAGCTTTAAATTTACTTTGTATTACTATTTAAATAATAGTATAACATATATACCGACTTGTTTTATTACTTTATCCAATTCTTCGAAGATATTATATAAAATTGCCAGTTAATGTGATTAATTCTGTGTCTTTATCACTTTGTCTAAATTGAGTAGACATTATAAATAATGGCTGGATAGTATATATAATATCTGGATTCATTACTTTGACTGTAACATATATAACACTGCAAATAACATAAAAAATGAACGTTTAAATAGTTGCGTACGGCATCTAGGAATAAAAAGCCTAAAACGATGTCTAACATTAATGTAAAGCTAAGTTTCCACATATACGGATTACTGGCGCCAGTACGAAGCCAGTTTAGTGGCGCAAATTAGCTGGCGCCAGAAGTTGTTTCCACATAAATGTTATAATTGTGTACTGGCACAGTAATAAAAATGGCGTCATGTGATGTACTTCGCGCTGGTATCAATATGGTAGTCCAAATGTGCTCCTTGGAACTGCACATATTATTAACAAAAAAAAAGCGAAAACATAGTTCCTGGGTTAGATCGTGGATTGCACGTAGAAATAACCTAGGTGCGCCTAGTACTTTAATTAGAGAATTATGCCATGAAGATCAGCAAGTATTTTTTAATCATTTAAGAATGACTGGAGAGAGTTTCATGTTTTTGTTAAGGCAAGTATACTCTAAAATATAAAAACAGCATACGCATATGAGAGATGCCATTCCAGCTCACGTAAAACTGCAAGCAAGTTTAAGATTTTTGGCTTCTGGAGATTCTTCTACATCTTTGCAATATATGTATCGTTTGCCAAAAAGCACAATTTCTAAATTTATATGTGAAGTTATTTATGGTGAAGTACTTTATGGTATTCAATTGTATATACTTCGTATTTTTGCTTTTGTCGAGATTTCGTCAAAATTAGGAACTGTTTTCTTCATAATTTCAACTATCCTTCTGACAGCTTCATTTCGTGCTAGTTGGTCCTTATATTGTGGAATTTTTTGATTCTCTGACATAAGAATGTCCAGAGATGCAAATAGAAGAACTCCGCAAAACTTATCTGTTGCTGAGTACAACTTTGAAGATGTGGAAAGCATTAGGTACCTGGGAATTTTACTCAGAAATCATAATACCATACAACACTGCATACAAGCCAGAATAAGTGGTGAAAAGCAAGTTACTTCGTTCATAAAAAGTTATTCCAATCAAAAGCTGTTTAGTAAATTAAAACTATTATTATATAAAATGATAACCGGTTATCACATATGGAAGCGATGAACATAGTCTAAAGATATTTGAAAGAAAAATATTACGAAGATTTTTTGGAATGAAGAATTAAACAACTTTAAAGGAAAAAACATTGTTCGGTTTGCCAAAGCTCAAAGAATAAGATAGATGGGACACATCGTAAGAATGAGTGAAAGCAGGAAAGCGAAAAGAGTATCTGCGAGCAAACCAGATATGCCAAGAAATAGGGGAAACTTGGAATGAGATGGAAAGACGGTATAACTAACGACATAAAAAAGCTGCGAGTTCAAAATTTAAGAGTGACAGCACTTAATAGAGTGGAGTGAAGGTAGATTGTTCAAAAGGCAAAATCTTACCAAGAGATGTAGCACCACATGATGATGATGATAATTTATTATTTACTGTGCTAATGGTATCAAATTTTTGGCTTTCTATTCTTCGACGTTTTTACATGAAGTAGAAAATAGACATTCGGCATGGTACAAGTTTATTTTTTAAGCCTTTGTGTAATGTTTGATTCGTCGTTACAAAGCACGTGGATTCGGTTGGGTCTTTCGGTAAAATAGTTTTGTTAGGCGGATTACATTCTTATACATTGGTTGGATAAGGGTGGTGCATTTGGGAAACAAAAACATAGTTGATATTAATCCATAGTCACTGACCAATTGGGCTTCTGTAGCAAGACTTGGTGCATTATCGATTAACAACACCGCCTTTCGATGTAAGTCTTGACAATATTTTCTCACTTCTGGAACAATACATTTTATGAACCACTTCTTAAAAAGCATTGAGGTCATACAGGCATTCGAAATCAATTTGTAAATTTGGATTCATAGCTTTTGCGTTAGCATAGGCAAAGAAAGTTAATCTTTCCTTGCTAGTTTTACGCCCTGGTGCTGTTTTGTTGTCAGATCCCACCAAAGTTTTATCTAGAAGGTTTTTATAAAATAAAGCTGAGTCTCGCCTGCGTTGTATATTTGATTATGGTTTAAAAACAAAGCATTGTGCTTTCTTTTTGCCATAATGACGGAGTGAAAGTAAACATGTTGAAACAAGCATAACACTTCATAGATTATTACGGTTATGAAGGGTCAGAACGAACTATACAAAATATAAATATGCATTCGAATTGTAGGATACTCATCAAGTACCGAGTTTTGGTGCAAATTGCAGAATACTAAGACAATATATAATTTTTTTGTTCTTAATCTTTTCTAGCGGATTATGGAATGTTCCGTTTATAAACAATGCCTATTTGATTAACGCCACCTTATTGAGAAAACACGATCGCACAACTTTGAATTTCGGCGGAAAAATTGATAAATGGGACCCGGATATGGCGTTTTGTGGAAATTTGCGAGAGCTAGACGTCTTTATGTTTGTTTCGAATCGATTGGAATTTGGTCATTTAGTAGATCCCGATACCTATAATACTAAAGTAACCGCCCCCGACATGTACCAAATTTTTGAGAACCCCGCCGATTGGGAGGCAAGATACATTCATGAAAATTACACGGAAAGTTTCGATCCAGACAGAAAAGCAATGCAGGTAAGTTATTATTTTATTAATTTTAACTTTTGTAACACAATGTAACTTATTTTTAGCCTTGCCCTGATGTGTATTGGTTCCCAATTGTATCATTAAACTTCACTAGAGACTTAATTAGTATGATGGAAAACTTCAATCAATGGTCTGATGGTTCAAACAAAGATTCTCGATTAGAGGGCGGTTATGAAGCGGTTCCTACTCGCGATATCCATATGAACCAGGTCGGTTGGGAACGACATTGGCTTCACTTTTTACACCAATATGTGCGACCACTTCAAGAACACATATTCACGGGTTATTTCCATGATCCTCCTCGTTCCCTTATGAACTTCGTCGTTCGTTATCGTCCTGATGAACAACCTTCGTTACGCCCCCATCACGATAGTTCCACGTACACAATAAATATTGCTTTGAACGAGCGTGGTGTGGATTACGAAGGTGGTGGTTGTCGCTTTATTAGATATAATTGTAGTGTTGTCGATACCAAACCAGGTTGGATGTTGATGCATCCAGGACGATTAACACATTATCACGAAGGGTTGTTGGTTACTAAAGGAACGCGTTATATTATGATTGCTTTCGTAGATCCATAAATTTGTGTAGTTCCTATTTTTTATTCTGCTTTTTATTATTTTTTTACTTAACATGTTGATACTTAACTGCCAAATTGATATTTTTAATGCGTAATGATGTTCCAGTGGTTTTTTTAAACTTTCTATTAATGAATCTCTAATTGAATATTAATTTTTAGGTTAGGTTAAGTTTTAAAGAGTTTTTATTGTAAATAACACTAAAATGTTTTAAATGATAATTAATTGAATAAATTCTTTATAAAAGGTGTAAAATTGATGTTTTTATTATAAATACCAACAAATCCTACCTCCACGTCCCCGTCGTGTACCCTGGACAATACGTTGCTCAGATAAAAGTTTCCTCAAAAGTCTGCCCCACGCAGATGCCGTCCCTGAAGTAATGGACATAACCCGTTCGTCAGGTAGGGTTCGCAGCATAGCTGGGAACATTTTTACACCCAACAGAGTAAGGTGGGCTATTTCTAATTTCAAGCGCTTAAAATCGCCTGGAGGAGATGGAATTCTGCCTATTTTTCTGCAAAAAGGCTTAGAAGACCTGCTCCCAGTAATAATATCCCTGTATATAGCCTTAGCTATACATATACCCACACTATGGAGGAAAGTAAAGGTGGACTTCATACCTAAATGTGATAGGTGTTCAAACGCCGACCCTAAGCATACAGACCAATTAGCCTAACTTCATTTCTCCTCAAAGGGATGGAAAAGGTAATCGATTAATACCTTAGGAATGGCGTGCTTGTCACTAATCCATTCTACCCTAGCCAACATACTTACCAGAAAGCAAAATCAACAAGGACTGCTCTCTATGCTTTGACTAGCACTTTAGAGGAAACAATTGCAACCAAAGAGATAGCCCTATATGCTTTCATAGACATTAGAGGGTGCTTTTGATAACACCTCCTATGAATCGGTCGAATCAAATGGTGTATAGCCATATTGAAAAGTCGGCAGATCACAGCCAGTCTGGGAGGCGACTATAAAGGCGCAAAGAGGATGTCCTCAAGGGGGAGTGCTATCACCTCTACTATGATGCCTGGTAGTTGATGACTTGATGAACACCCTAACAAAAAATGGATTCAAGATTCAGGGGTATGTTGATGACCTGTAATCATAATCCAAGGTAAATATGATACAATCATAACTCAACTAATGCAGAAAGCCCTACTAGTCATTAGTACTTGGTGTAGAAGCAATGGGCTCAGCATCAATCCAAATAAAATCGAAATAGTCCCTTTCACTCGAAGAAGAAAGCTACAAATAAAAGCACCCTCCATTGAAAGCAGAACTATTAACCTCAAAACAGAAGTTAAATGCCTATGGGTAATACTAGACAGTAAACTAAATTGGAACTCACACTTAGACAAAGTGAGGAAAAAAGGCCATCATGGCAAACCAAATCTGCCGCAGGCGCCTAGGAAGGAACTGGGGTCTCAAACCACGAATGGCTCATTGGGCCTACGTAGCAATAATCAGACCCAAGGTCGTCTACGCCTTATTGGTTTGGTGGCCAAAAACAAAACATAAGACAGCACAACAACCGCTGGCACAAATCCAGCGGTTAGCATGTCTTAATATAACGGGTGCAATGAGATCTTGTCCGACGGCTGCTTTGGAAGCCCTACTCGGTCTCACACCACTATATTTATATATACAAAAGGAGGCAGCTTCAAGTGCCTTATCACTGAAAACAGTTTCTTCACTCAAGTTGATACAGGATAACCTCAGAGGACACCTCGAAATTCTCAAGAACCCATGTCTAAATCACCTGATTGAAATTAAAACGGACCGACAGAATACAATTTTAGCCAGCCGTGTAAAGTTATATTTAGAAGCAGGAATGATTGGGCGAAGGGTGAGCCTCAACTAAAAAGAAGAGCCCTAGCCTGGTACACCAATAAGGTTGCTAGTTCTTTCTCCAGATTCATCGTATAGATATCAATTGGAAGAGAAGGAAAACAAAAACCCGGTTTAAAGGATGAATCGTATGAAAATTTATTTTTATGTGTTACTCATTCAACTTGAAGTCTTCAGATCTTCGGACACAAGTACGGATTTACAAAAATTAGTTAGATATGAGGAAATACAAAATCCTTATTATAACGTTACCGTCAATTAATTGGACCACATGGTAAAAAATGAGAATTGATGTAAAAACATTGAATTATCTGTTAACAACAAAACCAGAGTTACAATAAAAACCAGAGTAGAGAAATTAGAGATAAGTATAATCAAATCGAGCTTATAATATGTTTAACATGAAACTCAGAAGAACTGTATGAAGAATGGAACCAGAGTCTTATACATCCTATTCATAAAAAGGGCGACAAGCATGATTGCCGTAATTACAGGGGAATAACACTGCTTAACATGGCGTGCAAGATATTTTCATGCGTCATCTATAATAGAATGAGCGAGTATGCGGAGGAAATCTTGGGATTACCAATCTGGATTTCGGCCCAACCGATCTACAACAGACCATACACACTTTGAGCCAGATTGAAGGAAACCAAGGCCGCGGTGGTGCAGCAAGAATTATGACAGATATATTTGTAATCAGGAGCCGCGTCACACAAGAAGATGTCCTCTCAGTTCCGCTTTTTTACTTGACACTGCACGCAACTATCTCAGAAAGGCTAAATGATTCATCTTCCATACTGCGATTACGATAAGCGTTGCGTAGTCTTCAACTTGCTGTCTCTGCGATTTGTTTCTGACTTGATGTTCTTTTTCAAGCTTGTTAATGACATGCTGAATACTCTCGATTTTCTGCCTGAGTTGAGCTTCAAGGTACTGCAAGGGCTTACACGTTACAACGCCATATTTTGTAGTCACAGCTCTAAAATGAGAATATATAAGAGTTTAATAAGACCATTGATAACGTAAGGATGCGAAACATGGACGAAGGAAGATCTAAAGTTTGAAAGAAGAATACTGGGAAAGATATTTGGTCCAATACAAGAACAAGATGCAACATGGAGAACTCGAATTTATTTTGAATCAATGTCCTGCTTGGTGATGTGGACATAAGCAGATATCAACGAATTAGATAGCTGAGACACATAAGAAGAATGGGATACGATAGAAGTGCAAAAATCCTTACAGAATGGAAACCAACAGAGAAAAGACCTCGTAAAAGATGGTTGGACGACGTGAAGTATAACGAGGGCGATGGACGCGTGAAAAATTGGTGAATGGCGTAGAATTGTTGAGGAGGCCAAAACCCACCAAGGGTTGTACAGCATTAAGAAGATTCTAAATAAATAAATTTAAAATAATTAATTTTAGGTTATCTTTTTTGTAACGGACATTTTCTTATTTTTAAAACCGGTCAATGTTGCCAATCAAATCAATAAATGTTCCTAAAGCTGTTTTAACTTTACAAGTTACTTTTTATTTTAGTAATTGCATTAATAATTACTAAATAAATAACTGAAATCGACCATATGACGTTATAAATAATCCAATAAAGTTGAAATTGATTAATTTCTTTATAGCCTTACATTTGCGTATTTTGAATCCGGTTATTGCTACCAACACAAATCAAAAAATTCCTTAAATAAACCTAACTTTTCTATGAAAATTCGCTTTTTAATTTTCGTTATTTTTTGTTTAAACTATTTAAATGAAGTCGATTTAATCATTACGAAAATAATTTCTTTTAATAATCTTTAATTATCGAAAATTAAAAATCATAATAACGAAATCTAGTGACTTTCTTTGACCGTTTTGACATGTGTTTTTCTGTGGCGCAGATACACACTAGTTCTGGCGCCTCGTTGATTGCATTCGTTTGCTAGCACAGTTATTTTTTGATGGTCTAAAACCGGTGGTGTTGATCGTTTCCGGTTTTTTGTTCAACGATTAGAAAATGTCGAACATCAACCTCGACAAGGAGACATTTTTTCGCCGGCTACGCAAGTTACACACAGCCTGGCTAAAATCCGACGGCGAGAATGGATTTTCGAAGACCGATTGCCTCGTTACTGCCGTTGGCGTCGACGAAGAGCTCGTTTACAGCAAATCGGGCTCTTTGCAAGTTTGGCTTTTGGGTTACGAATTAACAGATACTATTACTGTGTTGACAGAGACCAATATTTACTTTTTATGTAGTAAGAAAAAAATTAATTTCTTGAGGCAAGCCGAGAATAATAAAGAAGAAAATTCGATTGGGATTAAGTTACTTATAAGGGATAGAAACGATAAAGATGAAGCGAATTTTAAAACGCTTATTAGTGCGATTAAGGAAAGTCGGAAAGGAAAAACTTTAGGTAAATTCAGTTTTATTATTTTTTAGGTTAAGTAAAAATTTTAGGAAAAATTCAAGAATCATGCGGAAAAGTGTAGAACATACTGAAAAAGCACATTAAAGTTTAGATGTGGCGTCACAAGCAATGTTAACCATCCATTTTCCTATTAAACCGGTCAACACCTAACCTACAAATTGTTTATTTTATAGTCACACACAAAATCAATCTTACAAGTAAAGTTATTTTCACTAAACTAGGTGAGATTACAATATATATTTACTAATGAAACACCCACTAGACTAGACAGTATGTACTATAAGAATGTTACTAGTTCTTGATCTAATGTTAGTTTTAGTTCTAGAACTAACATTAGAACTAGAAAGTATGTAATATAAGAATGTTACTAGTTCTAGATCTAGTGTTAGTTTTAGTTCTAGAACTAACACTAGAACTAGAAAGTATGTACTATAAGAATGTTACTAGTTCTTGATCTAATGTTAGTTTTAGTTCTAGAACTAACACTACACCTAGAACTAGAAAGTATGTACTATTAGAATGTTACTAGTTCTAGATCTAGTGTTAGTTTTAGTTCTAGAACTAACACTAGACCTAGAACTAGAAAGTATGTAATATAAGAATGTTACTAGTTCTAGATCTAATGTTAGTTTTAGTTCTAGTACTAACACTAGACCTAGAACTAGAAACATTCGGGTTTAGCCATCTTAAAAGACGTGTGGCTAAACCCGAATGTTACTAGTTCTAGATCTAGAGTTAGTTTTAGTTCTAGAACTAAAACTAGAAGGCAAGATTTAGCTGTGCATCTTCAAACTAAATATAGTTCTAGTTTTAATTGTGATTCAGTACTAGATTGTTGAATATTTTTATTGAACTAACACTAGATCTAGGAACTAGAAATATTCGGGTTTAGCCATTTTAAAGAACGTGGGGCTAAATCCGAATATTTCTAGTTTTCGGTCGGTAGTATTGGTTCTAGTTTTGCACTAGAACTAACACAAGACCTAGAACTAGAATCATTCGGGTTTAGCCATCTGGAGAGTTAATGATATTAGTAGTTAGTAGGCGATATTGACGTGTTAATAACTCACTTTCACTTTTCACTTTTTATTGAAACAATGTTGTGAATTTTGATTATATTACTTAAAGAAATAAATTAGGCATCAAAATCAAACATTTTGAAATAAAAACGTTGTTTCAACGTCATTAACAACGATCACTATTTTTGTGAAATCTTTGTGAATTTTAATTTTTTAATATTTATAAATCGTGCTTGGTATTAAAAACGAACATTATTAACTAGAAAATTGTCTTCTTAGATTCACCAGTGTGCTAACTGTTCACTGCAATCACTATTTCTCCAGTGTTAGTTCTAGTTTTAATTGTTGTTCCGCGTTATAGTAGAAACCACGAGAGGTGGCAGTAAATCATCGCTTTCCGCTCTTACAAATGCCATACGTAGTAAATTAAAAGTCACAAACCGCTGGAGAGTAATGTGTGTTAGAAAGAGATAGCATTAGTTTAATATGTCTGCTGTACAATTCAAATAGCCACGTCACAAAGTACGTTTGTTCTTCTAACGGATCTACCTACCGTAATCCTAACCTCAAATCTAAACTGCTCACAAGACGAGCATTGAACCACTGTTTAAATAAAACTTACTTGCGACCTGTAAACAACCTTTAAAATTATTTGTTGCATAAATTAATATTTACATAAACTTTAACCTAAACTTAACGTTAACCTCAACTATCTTTGACAATGTTTGACATAATATATAACGTCCATTACTAACATAACCTACATTTAAATGTATGTAGTGAAATAATCTAAGTAGTACGTGCATATCTTGATTCATACCATTTTTAAGCGATGACTTATTACCAACTCTCGTGGTTTCTACTATAGATTGTTATATACTTATATTGAACTAAAAGTAAAACTAACACTAGACCTAAAACTAGAATAATTCGGGTTTAGCCATCTTGAGAGACGTGGCTAAATCCGAATGTTTCTAGTTTTCGGTCTAGTATTAGTTCATGTTTTACACTGTTGAAAGACGTGCGGCTAAACCCGAATGTTTATAGGTCTAGGTCTTGTGTTCTAGTGATAGTGTAAAACTAGAGCTAACACTACACCTAGAACTAGAAAGTATTGGGTTTAGCCGTGCGTCTGAAGACTGTTTCTAGGTTTAGTGTTAGTTCTAGTTTTAGTTCAATAAAAATATGCAACATAGTGATATGTTATGCTAACTAGCGCTATCTACTAGAACACTGCACGAGTACGTACAGAATCGCGTGAATATGACTACGAATACTCGTCCGACGATTTATACCATTATCTCGTGTGTACTTGTACGCATCACGCGTTTCTATGCGAGTACAACAGTAATCGGCATCGTTTAGAGTCGGTATCGGCGGTATGCAGACGGAATTTACAGATCTGTCACGACGGGCTGAGTCTATATGTATGTGGCTAACTACTGGCACTATTTTTATGAAAATTTGCATATAATAATAATAAATGCCTTTATTAATAAGTTGAAAAAAGAAGAAAAAATAATAATTCATTCTTACAAAATAGACTTATTTTCTGGACGGACGTCAGTTCGGTTATTAACCAACTGCTCTTCCACTTAATCCAGAATATATAGATAGATATCACTCAACAGAAGAATAGTTTCAGTAAATAGTCTTCAATCAGTAGGTAGTATTGTTATCTCCAAGCACTTAGTAGTGTTTTGGCAGCAATATATAGTCTTCTGAAAGCATTAAATAGTCTTTGCCAACAATATGTAGCTTTCTCCAAGAAATTAGTAGTCTTTCCAACAATATTTAGCATTCTGAAAGTAGTTAATACTCTTTTGAAAACGGTATTTTGTCTTTCCAAGCAGATAATAGTTTCTCCCAGCAGTATTTAGTCTTCTCCAAGCAGGTTGCAATCTTTTCTAGTAGTATATAGCGCTCTGAAAGCAGTAAGTACTCTTATGGAAGCAGTATCTCGTCTTTCCAATCAGTTTTAGTTGTTTGACAGTACTATCTAGTCTTTTCCAAACAGATTGTAATCTTTTCCACCAGTATCTAACATTTTGGAAGCAGTAGGAACCTTTTTTGGAGAGCATCTTTTCTTTCCAACTAGTTATTACTCTTTTCCAGCAGTATCTAACATTCTGGAAGCAGTAGGTAGCTTTTTGGAAAGCATATTTCTTTTCTAAACAATTGTATATTATTCTGCCTGTCCAAGTAGGTCTAAACCTTTAACAGCAGTGTTTAGCGTTCTGGAAGCAATAGGTATTATTTTGAAAACAGTATCTAGTCTTTTCCAAGTAAGTTGTGGTCTTTTTCTGCAGTATCTAGGATTGTAGAAGCGGTAGGTAACTTTTTGAAATAGTATTTCCTCTTTCCAAGTAGTTTTTAGTCTTTTACTAGTAGTATTTAATCTTCTGATACCAATAATTACTCTTTTGCCAACAGTATCTAGCATTCAAACCTAAAAAACAACCGTATTTCACCCGAAAATATGCGTTTTAACCAAATGTGCTGCGAAAATATGGTTAGCGACATTTGAGAAATCCGCACTGGTTTAAATGTTAATTAACCTAACTCAAAGTGGAATTTCTACACAATATTCTGAAATAAATCAGTAAATTTGGTGGATCCGAATGAAACGTTTAAAGCGGGGGCCCTACCCTCCTCTAAAAAGATATGTCGCATCTGGGTGACAAAGAATCGAGTGTTGTAGCAGCAATTTTTAGATCTGTAATGGAAGGAACACAGAAATATATCACTCAACAGAGGAATAATTTCAATAAATAATCTTCAGCCAGTAGTATTGTAATCTCCAAGCACTTAGTAGTGTTGTAGCAGCAGTATGTAGTCTTCTGAAAGCATTAAATAGTCTTTGCCAACAATATCTAGCTTTCTCTAAGCAATTAGTAGTCTTTCCAACAATATTTAGCATTCTGAAAGTAGTTAATACTCTTTTGAAAACGGTATTTTGTCTTTCCAAGTAGATAATAGTTTCTCCCAGCAGTACTTAGTCTTCTCCAAGCAGGTTGTAATTTTTTCTAGTAGTATATAACCCTCTGAAAGCAGTCAGTAGCCTTATGGAAGCAGTATCTTGTCTTTCCAGTCAATTTTAGTTGTTTGGCAGTACTACCTAGTCTTCTCCAAGCAGATTGTAATCTTTTCCACCAGTATCTAGCATTTTTGAAGCAGTAGCTCTTCTTTCCAAGTAGTTATTAGTCTTTTCTAGTAGTATTTAGCATTCTGACAGCATTTGGAAGCTTTTTGGGAAGCATATCTCTTTTCCAAACAATTATTAAAGTCTTTAAAAGCAATAAGTAGCCTTGGAAGCAGTATTCCGCCTGTCCAAGTAGGTCAAAACCTTTAATAGCAGTGTTTAGCTTTCTGGAAGCAGTAGCTATTATTTTGAAAACATTATCTAATCTTTTCCAAGTAAGTTGTGGTCTTTTTCTGCAGTATCTAGCATTTTAGCAGCAGTAGGTAACTTTTTGAAACAGTATTTCCTGTTTCCAAGCAGTTTTTAGTCTTTTACTAGCAGTATTTAATCTTCTGATAGCAATAATTAGTCTTTTGCCAACAGTATCTAGCATTCACGAACCAATAAGTTAAAGAGTTTAAATGCTGCGAATATATGGTTACCACGGTCGATGACGTCACAAAAAGTGATTTTTCCGCAAATTTTACACTTTTCCGCACTTTTTTTATTTGTAACGGCTTACTTGAATGATCTCTTTTTGATTAACTTTGATTAAAAAAAAATTGTCGTTTTTTAAGCGACATGATGATTCTTGAATTATATCAAATATTTAAATTCTTGATTCTTTAGGCACATTTACAAAAGAAAATTATCCTGGAGAATTTATGGACTCGTGGAGGGCTGCTTTAAAAAAAGAAGAATTTAATGTGGTTGATGTTTCTTCTGCTGTAGCTTATGTGATGTGTCCAAAAGAAGAAACGGAAATCGTCACGATAAAGAAAGCTTGTAACGTCTCTGTGGATGTATTTACAAAATATTTAAAGGATCAAATAATGGAAATTATTGATTCCGACAAAAAAGTAAAGCACAGTAAATTGGCGGAAGGTGTCGAACAAGCTATAACCGATAAAAAATACGTTTCTGGAATAGACGTAAACCAAGTGGATATGTGTTACCCTGCTATAATCCAATCTGGGGGGAATTATAATTTTAAGTTTAGCGTTTTGAGTGATAAAAATAATTTACATTTTGGGGCGATTACATGTTCCTTAGGGGCGAGATACAAAAGTTACTGTTCAAATGTAATTCGCACATTGTTGGTAAATCCTTCTGATGAGGTTCAAAACAATTACAATTTTTTATTAAACCTGGAAGAAGAAGTATTAAAAAAGTTAACAAACGGAACGAAATTATGCGATGTTTACGAATCAGGTTTAGCTTACGTTAAAAAAGAAAAACCGAATCTTGTTGAGAATCTAACTAAAAATTTCGGTTTTGCAATGGGAATTGAATTCAAAGAAAATTCCTTAACAATCGGCCCAAAAGCAACTGCAATCGCACGAAAAGGAATGGTATTTAACATCAACATGGGATTTAGTAATTTACAAAACAAAGATGCACAAGATAAAGAAGGAAAAATTTACGCTTTATTTATCGGTGATACCGTAATGGTTAACGATGATCAACCCGCTACTTTATTAACGGTATCAAAGAAAAAAATTAAAAATATCGGAATTTTCCTTAAAGACGATTCCGAAGAAGAAGAGAACGATGAAGAAAAAGAAAACGCCCCAAAACCAGAAATTTTACGCCGTGGGCAACGAACCGCTGTAATTGAATCGAAATTGCGTTCTGAGCAAACATCCGAAGAGAAACGAAAGGAACACCAAAAAGAATTAGCAAACGCTTTAAATGAGAAAGCAAAAGAGCGACTTGCAAAACAAGGTGGTGCGAAAGATGTTGAAAAAGTTCGGAAAAACACGGTTTCTTATAAAAACACAAATCAAATGCCGAGAGTTTCGGAAGTCAAAGAATTAAAGTTATATGTCGATCAAAAATATGAAACGGTTATTTTGCCGATTTATGGGCTTCCGGTTCCATTTCATATTTCAACAATTAAAAATATCTCGCAGTCTGTTGAAGGTGATTACACTTATCTACGTATTAATTTCTTCCATCCTGGTTCTACAATGGGAAAGAACGAGGGCGGTACTTATCAACAACCAGATGCTACCTTTTTAAAAGAGGTTACATATAGAAGTACTAATACTAAAGAACCTGGAGAAATTTCGCCTCCATCTTCAAATTTAAACACAGCATTCCGATTGATTAAAGAGGTAAGAAATCAAACAAAATTATTTATTTAAAAACAAGAAAATATTACCATAGGAAAATGACTATAGATTTTTAATTAAATTTTAAGGTCTCTTGAATTTTTTTCTACTTTATTTAGGATAATGTGTGGGTGTTATTATTATTATTACTGCTAGGCTGAGGGGAGTGCTCTCTCTCGTCACCGCGACATATAAAATCTATTGTAACTTAAGCCCTCCAAACGTTTAGGGCAAATGGAGGTCCTTGATGAATCTTAGTATTGTCAAGGATTTGTTCGTTTATGTCGGTAGGTGTCAGGCTTACTTTACCGAAAATGTAAAGTCCCTAGATTTACAAAGTACCGCGGTTCATGACGCCTGTTTTCGAGCCAAAATGGCGGTTTGACATGTCACCGCATCTCACCACTTATTTATCAAAATATTGCCGTCTTGTTGCCTTTGGAATTGCAAAAATAGCAGTAAGAAGGGCTTTCAACTCTTAAGAGTACCACGAGAAAAAAGAAAGGAGTTTTGGCGTAATGTTATCAATAGAACGACATAGTTTTAAATTTCCCGCTTGACTTTCGAGCCAAAATGGCGGCAAACCGCGGTACTTTGTAAATCTAGGGACTTTACGAAAATGTTGTCTTGAGCGACCTCTTGCCACGCATTCACATAGTATATGTTCAGCTCAGTTCAGCTGTTTCTGACTCGTCGTTACAAAGTCGACATGTTTGATCCTCAGCTTGTCCATTGTGGAAGAGATGGTATTTTAGGGGCATATGGCTGGCCAGGAAGCCTGAGAGTGACCTTAGATCCCCTTTATTGAGGCATAAAACCTCTTTGGTTTTGTTTTATGACGGAGTTATCATACTCTTCGCTTCTCTGTGACCTGGAAGTTCTTTCCACCTATTGTCTTAACAATTTTATTATCAAAAAAGAATTTTTTTTTTTTGGAAAAAATAACATTTTGCAATACGTCCCTTAAAAGGGCTTAGAATAGACTTAATCATATTGGCGTTAATGAAACTGTATTATAACAAAAATACAAAAATGTAAAAACGTAATAATTTACAAAACAACGTTAAGGAATAATAAATATAACTTTCAGCATTATTTAGTATGACAATGTTCAAAACAGTATTTATTATGTAGGCCAATATCGCACTTTATACATATAAAATTTAACTTTTTTGTACAATATTTACATCGTCGATCTGTCTCATAGAAGTGAATCAAATGACCAATGTTATCATAACGGATTGCCAGCAATGGCTTAGATACAGAAGTTTTTCTTCCTAACTTCCCAGCATCATATGATATCAAAAAGCTGAGTGGTATGTATCGCCGAAATGCCGTAATGAAGAACAGTTTATATTATTAAGTTTCAAATTCTTCATAAGGAGCCAAGCATTAAGAACTGAAGCATCTAACTGAAATAAATAGATTGGCCAATACGACTTTCTAAGTCTCATTCGCGTTCTGCATACTGCAACAAGTTCATCTAATTTATCCACCCCACCCATTCTTTTATTATAGCTTGTTACCATTTCGGGCTGCTCTATAAGACCTACTTTCTTTGCACCACTGTGTACTGTTGGATACAGATTTTCCTTGAAAGTTTGTAGCCATGGTAACCACTCTGTTATCTTTCCATTGAACAAGTAATACTTCCGCGTAGCATAAATTACTTAGGTATTTGCCATCAATGTTTATGCCTTCTTGGGTCCAATCCAGTTGTTTAAATGCATTCTCCAGGACTGTGATGAACAATTTGGGTTCAACATTGTATCGCCTTGTTTTACTCACAATCAGTAATTCTAGGCAGTTTTACCGTCAGTGTAGCATTCTTGTAGATGTTGTAAACAAGTTTGGTGTATCGATAATCGACTCTGCATTCTTGAAGTGCTTGCAAAACTGCCATCAACTCAGTTTAAATTTAAATTTTATAAATACCTCTAAATACCCATCATGGGTAAATACCCCCGGGTATATATCCAGGAAATTTATCCTTGAAAATAAATACCCGGGTATTTAACAACACTGCCTCTGCCATGATTTATTCCAAAACCTCGTATTGGGGAAAGGACATCTTTCTGTTCGATTTGGGCGTATTGTGCCTGTTGCACATATTTTCGTCCCCTTCAGATAACAAAGTAAACCAACACTGGTAAAATAATTATCAAAATAGATCTTATACCCTTCATTTTCTCCAATACCAGCTTTATTTATTAGGTCTAAAACGACATTTCCTCCAAGT